TAAAGCCGTGATGTTCGAGATACTCTACAAGCACTATATTTATGCAATTTTCCATCGCATAGCTGATAACAATACAGTATACGATTATAAATAGTACGTTCAAGTATACAGCCTTGCAAGCTTGTGCAAAAATCATCTGCAGATATCTCATCTGAACGAAAACTCGTTGCCTTGTCAGCTGCGTAAATTCCGAATCCGAAGTATGTGTGACACTAGGATTCCAAGCGACTCATTTCTAATCTCACATTCAGTCCCCCAGAACTCCACAATTTCCAGTAAAAAGTATTGGGAAACGGGGAAAATTTTGAAAATTCGCTAATCCTAACTTGGAAAGTACTGCTCGGATTTTGATGACACAAGAGTATTAGTATGCCAAAGGTTTGTAGTTTTTAAAATAGGTAGCAGAAAACGATAAACTAAAATCGCTCAAATTTCGTTCTTTGACGTTTCAGAGGCTCCTGCACGGCACGGGTATTACGTATCTTAAAAAGTGACATTTCGTAGTTTTTTAACATTTCAGAGATGGCATTATTGGAGGTCTAAGCTAAGCATAGGTACAGTGAGGATTTGTGTGCTGATAATATGAGTTGATGATACTTCCATTGGTTTCTTGTCTCAAATACACTTACTTGAGATTCAAAGCTACAAATTAGTTGGGCATCTACTTTTTCTTATTCATTCCGGAAAGTACATAAATATGCAAATTTGCTGAATTTTAAAAATGTGAGATATAAGAAAAGAAAATCCCTGGTTGGTGAAGTAACAGGTGAGAAAATATGCTACAAACAGGAATATTTATGAAAGCGGTTAAAGCATTATTTTTTATTTTCAGTCATTTTTATAGAAATTTATTTAGAAAATAAAAATCAGCACCTAGATGTGAAGCACTGCGAAAATATTTGAAGTATGATACGTCATTTTCTGTGATATGGCTCCTCAAAGTTTTTGAAAACACAAAAAAACGTAATTTATAACTTTGAACATAACCTGTCTTCAGAAAGGACAACATATAAATAACCCGTCGGGCACAGCCAATAGATATACTTCATTGGCAGCAAATTCAGTAATAATTTTCTGACATAGCAAATATCACTGATTTTATACGCATGCAGACCAATATACATTATCATCCAGATGCGATCTTGCTACTCAACCAACTTTCTTCTCAGAGATGAGAACTACAGACTACTCGGCTTCACAAAACATATGCAACCAACAATGCGTGTAGTTGAGTCATTCCTCCATACATGGACGCTCACAGCGGTAATAGCGACCAAACGTGGAATGAACTATTTGTTCCACTAAACACTACCTAGTCCGCAAGATGACATTTCGATGATTTGTTTAGACGTTTTATACATTTTGTACATAATAGCCGTGCTGGTCACTTTCGGAAAAAAATTAGGTTCAGAATTGGAAGTTGAGGGTTGTAGGGCTGGAAGATAGTATTTAAACGCTTTCAACTCCGGAAATTCTATGCAACTATTGAACATATTTCACTTAGACTTCCCCGTACGTTTGCCTTTAACACTACAGAGAAATATGTTCTATACATGCATCAAATGCACGAACGTAGGGTGATTTAGCTGACAGGGGCTGGCTGGCGAGGTTAGGCATAGCAACGTTGCCGGACCGTGGGTAGTGTTGGTGGTTCAGTGGAGAAATTTCTATTTCGCAGCGTTGTCACACAGGTGGGGAATATGGTCTAATTCTATTTTTTTTTGGTGATACATACTCGTAACATAATCATGATGCAGTGAGCAAACGGCAAAGTTTGCTTGATCGACAACCAATAGTTGTCAATACGCGCTCTTACACCTCCTTCACCCCTTTACGAAGATGAAAATAAAAATTTTGCCTAGCAAGCCCCTCAATTTTCAGTCACAATAATTGAAAATTTCGCTATAGGTTCCATTATAAATATTTTTAACAATATAATTATAGAATACATCACATTTAAGCTGATGGAAAGTATTTCCTATTCATGACAGTAATGCTACGGGTGATACTTTTTAAAATTTTGTACGTTAATTGGAAAAGAATTGATGATTTCAACATAAGTTCCAACAACAATCATTTAACCGTTTACGATGACAATAACCCTAGTGATGAGAAAAAATTTCATTACGCTTTCGATTAGCTTTTATGGCGTAATATAATGTAGTCGAACGTTGTAATAGGCAGTACGTTTAGTACATTTTACATGTTGTATATACACTTGCGTACAAGATGGTCTTAAACCTACTTTCAGTGGACGTTAAGTTAGATTTTATTGACACTTTTACTTTAAGATGACATGGAAGTGTTTTACTTCCGCACACTGGCACACTCAAACACTGAAATCATTCGATTCTTAAACTGCTACTTTATTATTTGGTGAATAAGGAAAAGGTATTCATTGATTCGAGTATTAATTTTTAATTAATATTAATTTCTTATTTGATTTGTGTATAAAATAATTGAATCTTGTCAACATGTCTGACTAACAACCACCAAAAACTACTATACAGGGTGTTCCGTACCTAAATGGGCATAGTGAAAGGGTAAGTAGTATATCTGGAAACAAAAAAGTTCTAAATCCAGTTTTTACTGACATACATTTATCTAAACACACAGAAATTTTAGTATCATATATCTTAGGCACTATGGACCGGTTTTGCACCATAACAAATCTACCTATGAGTAACGTAAAACTAGACCGACAGTTAAAAAATCCAGGGCCGGACGCGATTATTTTCTTTTTTTATTAAAATCAACACATTTTAAGCTGAATATTGAAATGTTTGACTATGCAACAAAAAGCCCATGAATGGTGGTAATTAATTAGCAAAATAGATTAATTGTGCCTCTTTTCGTTTTTTAGTTAGACATTCTTATTTATTCAAGTATCTTATTTTTGCAGTTTATATAACATCACACTCAAAATGCAAGGGTTATTAACTTGGTTTCATTAACATTTTACAAAATAATCCTTAAAATTGACCTTGAGACGTATCGGGAACTCAAAATTCCAGTATCAAAATCAACACCTCTTAAGCTGGACGTTGGAATGTTTGACTAAGTACAAAGAAATCCAATATAATGCGCTGATTATTAGCAAAATAGATTGATTGCACCTATTTTATTTTTTAGTTTTAAAGTTTTTATTTATTGATAAGTTAATAATCCTTGAAATTTTGAGTTTGGTGTCACATAAGCTGCTACAAATAAGATTTAAATAAATAAAAATGTTTAAGTAGAAAACCAAAAGATACGAATTCGATCATCTATTTTTTAGGTAATCAACTCTTTTTTGGTACATTTCAACATACAGCTTAAAAGGTATTGACTTTGACAAAAAAAATTGAAAAAATCGAGTCCAGCCCTGGATTTTTTGGACCGTTCGTCCAATTTATTTTAGAATTCAAATAAAACCAGAAAATGAACAACGATTTTTCAATAGATGCGGTATACGAAACAAATGGCTATCTGATAATTTCAATACCTACCTTGGAAATTCTATTTTTTTTTTGAAATATTTAACGTTTGGCAATGTCCATGTATAACATATTCTATATTTTTGGAACCAGAATTGAAAACTCTATTCATCTATGGAAAAATCCAATATTGCATCTATGAGAAAAAATAAAGTTTGATACTCCAGGACAAGAGACGAAATGTCATATTGACATTCTAATTATGCCATTATCTAGTAGAGGAGAAAAAGTGGCAATGTCAATCTGCAATTTATTTTGACATCGCACTACAAATAGAGTTAGGAAAAAATTAAAACGATTTTGGGAAAATTCGGTTTTCTCCGCCTCTCTCCGGAAGTACTTTGAATTTGAAAAAGTTCTAGTGGCATCTTGTTAGTTACCTAAAAACGCAACTTTGTCCCCATTTAAGCCACCTCTAATCTCTTACCGTTTCCGCTGACCGTTTCAATTCCGGAAACTCAAAAAATGTGTACAGCATTGTTAGTGGTGATGAATCGTGGATTTACTGTTATGAACCAGAAAATTAACGACAGTCGGCTGTTTGGGTGTTCCAAGGTGAAGAAAAGCCAACATAAGTCATCCGTTCTCGAAGTGTTTCGAAAAAGATGGTCGCGACATTTGTATCAAAAGCGGGTCATATTGCAACAATTCCTCTTATTGAGCAAAGAACTGTTACTGCGGATTGGTATACCACCATTTGTTTGCCAAAAGTCATCACCGAGCTTCGAAAAATCAACCCCGAAAGAAGAATCATCTTCCACCAAGACAATGCAAGCTCGCACACAGCCCAAAAAGCAAGGCAGTATTTAACGGACGAAAACGTGGAATTATTGGACCATCCTCCATATAGTCCCGATCTAAGTCCTAACGATTTCTTTACTTTCCCGAAAATTAAAAACAGACTGCGTGGTCAAAGGTTCCAGTCACCAGAAGAAGCAGTTGACGCATTCAAAAATGCCGTTTTGGATCTGCCAGCAAACGAGTGGAATAAGTGCTTCAAAAATTGGTTCGAGCGCATGCAGATGTGTATTAATCTTCGTGGAGAATACTTCGAAAAACAATTAAGTCATTTAAAACTACCTACAGTGTTGTTTTATTTCCATATGTAAAACTTAAAAAGATATCCCTCGTAAACTGCTGTAAAAACAAGTCGCCGAACCATACATTTGAAATAAATCACCAGGGAATGAAAAAAAGAAGTTTATTTAAGATTAAAAGTTTGCACACGTTATAAGTTTAAATACGTAACTAGCCCTCGGTCCCATGTAAATATTCATCAATTAAACTCAAGAAAAAACAGTTTACAACCACAAAAACAGTTTATAATTTATAATATTATTTAAATGAATAAATAATAACACATAAAAATTATTAGCGAATACATAAGTGATATTATAATATGTACAGTGAACAAAAACGTTACTCAGGCTAACCTACAAAAAACATAAACACAAAATTGTGTTTAGGAGGTCAATTATAATACTTTTACAGGAAAACTAATTTAGCGACTTTTTCGGAACACGAGCGATTTCGAAGTTTGGAATGTATCAAGCGAAATGTCGAAAACACTCTTTCGACATGTGCTGAAGAAGCCGTAGCAGATAACTGTTGATGGGGGGAAGGGGAAGTTTTGAGAAAAATGAATTTAAAAGTTTGAAGGCGCCTAGACTCGTTGTACAGGGTGAGTCAAAGATCTGATGGAGTACCATAGATTCCTTATTATAATAAATTGAAAAAAACTTAAATTGTAAACGAAAAAATATTTTCTGATATACAGGGTAGCCCAAAGTGAAACCAGAACAAACATTTTTTAATGGAAAATCCTTGTTATTTTTGTATTTTCAGATTATCCTTATGATTTTAAACATTTTTTTATGTGTTAGCGTCCATGCTTGAATTTTTTTGACATATTGAGGCTATAGATGAGCCTTTCGTCATGAAATCTAAGGGTTGATTGCCTATCTTAGGTTTTACGATCTGTCCTAATATGAAAACTACCTTAACAGATCATTTATTACACAGGAACAGAACAGAACATAAGAAAAATGTGATTTTCTAACCACAATAGCTCAAACAGAATTATTTCTAAGTATTTCCTTAATTGAGACAGAAAAAACAATGAACCAAAAAAAATTGTGTAATTGCTCAAAAAATGATTACGTAACGTTTATTTCTTTCATCGCAGATGGGTGTATGGTAAATTGTTTCGGTGACGATCAGTGGACGTTCATCTTTTTTTCATACAACGGCTGTGACATTCATCTTTTTTCCCTGCACAGCAAGTTTTCAATTGGGTATAACTACGAACTGTCATTATTTTTGCGTGTTTACGATACCTCATGGGATTAACACAAAACACCAAATTTGTGTCATTCATCTTTTTTCCCTGCACGGCAAGTTTTCAATTGGGTATAACTACGAACTGTCATTGTTTTTGCGTGTTTCCGATACCTCATGGGATTGACACAAAATACCAAATTTGTGACATTCAACTTTTTTTCCTGCACTGCAAGTTTTTTATATGGGTACAACTACGAACTGGCATTGTTTTTGCGTGTTTCCGATACCTCATGGGATTGACACAAAATACCAAATTTGTGACATTCAACTTTTTTTTCCTGCACGGCAAGTTTTCAATTGGGTACAACTACGAACTGGCATTGTCTTTGCGTGTTTCCGATACCTCATGGGATTGACACAAAATACCAAATTTGTGACATTCAACTTTTTTTCCTGCACTGCAAGTTTTTTATATGGGTACAACTACGAACTGGCATTGTTTTTGCGTGTTTCCGATACCTCATGGGATTGACACAAAATACCAAATTTGTGACATTCAACTTTTTTCCTGCACGGCAAGTTTTCAATTGGGTACAACTACGAACTGGCATTGTTTTTGCGTGTTTCCGATAGCTCATGGGATTGACACAAAATACCAAATTTGTGACATTCAACTTTTTTTTCTGCTCGGCAGGTTTTCAGTTGGGTACAACTACAAACTGGCATTGTTTTTGCGTGTTTCCGATACCTCATGGGATTGACACAAAACACCAAATTTGTGACATGCATCTTTTTTCACTGCACGGCAAGTTTTCAATTGGGTATAACTACGAACTGTCATCGTTTTTGCGTGTTTCCGATACCTCATGGGATTGACACAAAACACCAAATTTGTAACATTCATCTTTTTTCCTCAGTACAGTACAATAGCATCGAATTTCGGTTGAGATTTCCACCAATTTAAAGCTTTTGAAGTTTTGATAATTTCTTCGTCAAACATTTATCCGTAAAAGGACGTCATTTTACCAGGAATGGTTTTTTTTTTATTGACAAGAATCCACTGGGTAGCAGTTCTTTTACGGCTTTCAAAGCACAACTCTTTTCGTCGTCTACTTATAGATGTTTCAGTTTGTGTGCGTGATGCATAGTTCGTACTGGTGTCTAAATTTTTCTACTTGACTTAAAGTAAAATATGTCTCCTCAAACGCTGATTCGATATTCTTGAATTATTGTACGAGAGCAGAAAGGCTTGCGTCAGTTCTTTGAAACCTATCAATAGCAACAGAAATAGGCTTCAGGATCGCTAAATAATCTCCAGCAGATCTTTTCAAACAGATATTTAAAAATGTTTCTCTTACTACGGCATCGATTTCATTTTTATGCTTCTACTTTTCAAAAGTATTAGCCACGATTCAATGAATGCTTGTAAGCAATCAGCTAGTGAATTCCACTTCACGTCATTAGGTACAACAATTTTTTTTTCTTCAGACAGGAAAGCCGCGGCCCGCACACATGTCAACACAAGTTTTTTTGTATGTCGTTGAGAGTTTTTTTTCTATAAATCAAATATTTATAATAGAAAAAAAATAATGAAAATAAGTTATTTTATATATCATCATTGCCATATTTAAGGAAAAAATCAGAACAAACAGATAAAAATCGAAAAATCGCGATTTAATCGAAAAAATCGGATTTTTTGAATTCAACAAAAAAATCGTGATTATTTGCAACACTGGTGGAAAGTATAGAGTCCATCTACTCGACGCCCTTTTTGTAAGCTATTATAGCGATTATAGCTTTTTTTGTCCGACTTCAAAATCGCAAATCGCATGAAGTTCAGTAATATACACAAAATTTAAAATAGGGCCTCGTGCCACGTAACGTAGTACTTCGAGGATATACTCGTAGTAACAAATTTTGAAACTTAACTGCTATGCTCTATTTTTCGTAAAATCAATACTTTCGTCTGCCAAATAGGTCGCTGGGTAGACTACATAGGATGTTCATCACGCTGGAGAAGCTAGACAGATGAAGTTACATAAATTGACGAGACAAATTGTAAACTCTCCATAGCAATTGATTCTTGGGAAAATGCAATTTTGGTTTTCCATTATACAACAAAGGAGACATTCGTATTTTCGATTGAAAGCCCAAGTATTCCTAGCAAAATTAAAAAACTCATATACGGAAATCGGGACACGAATATCTGAAATAACCACTAGATACCTACAATAAAATAGACGAAATCGAAAGTATTCCTCAGCCGAGCCAACAGTCTATGGCAAATCTGTGTTTGGTAAAACGTAAAAAGTGAAAATACGTTAATTAGTAAATTCTCAAAGTACACTCTGCACTCTCGTAAAATTTACACTTGTCATGTTGCCATGGCTACTATGACCTTAGTGCAATGATATCAAGTATTTAAAATATAAATAAAATAGTCAACACAGAATCCTCTTTTTGGTTTCTCAGTGCCTAAGTATCCACTCACTCTCTCATAAAAAAATGTTTCTAAAATAACTCGAGAAATCAGCCTTATTGATCGCAAGGCCTTATTTGAGTTTGTCAGTGTATTGGTGTACCAAGTAAATTTGTAGATATTTTAAGATGAATTTATGGTATTTAGGTTTTCTGTCAACTAAGAAAAATAGCTAATTTTGGTTTCATATTCACTATGTCAAGACTACATGATAGGTGATAATATTTGTAATAATATTTTGTACCCAGGCAAAATGTGTGGCCAAGGGGTAACATTTACACTATGAAAAAGATAGATTAAACATGATATTGGTAACTAACATTAGCTAAATAAATTCAATAGTACTTTATTAAAAGTAACAAGTCTTCAGATCAATCGGTCTTGAAACAAGAATCTTATACTTAGATTGTGAGCTCACAGACCCTCGGAGTAACTAACGGTTGTGTTTGAAAGCTAGACACTTCTTCATAGCGGGTCGCAGCCATTGCTATCGCTGTTTGTATTTGTTATTGTAAAGTAGATAAAGGAGAAAAGTAAAAAACAATTGACATGACGTAAAAAAATTGAGATAACTATTATGATATTATTGTATGCGTTTCATAACTTTTGTATTCGAGAATCATTGTTTGTCTACACAGAAGCAGTGATGTACTGTTGAAATTCACAAAGATATGCATACCTGGTTAAATACTGTAACCACTGGCAAAAGGGTATCTACCGACACTACATGAGCAATTGACGTGTTTCTGGTTTCATAATATCATTTTGTGGTTTGCTACACATTGATGAAGGCCAAATCGCGAAAATATCATATTTACTCGAAAATATGAAGTTTAAAGGGCAGGCAGGTGAGGGTGGCACAATTTTCAGGAGCCACTAAAAACTTGTTTTTTCTGCCTTTATACAAATTTTTATTGTCTCTTTTAATGAAAATCTAGCAATAGAAAGAGCATTTGTATATTGTTATACCAGATTACAGAAATTTGTTGATATTTCGGGAATGGAATACGCCCAGGGGCATATACATGATGTCGTTAATTTCCAAGAATAGGCCTAATAACAAACTACCTATGTAAAATGTATTATTATCATTTATCATTGCATAGCCTACTCATGGAACATACATTAATTGGAAAGTGCGAAATGAGCGGTAACATCTTCACACCTACTGATTCATGTGTATTTTGACTGTTTTGGACCGATCTTTCCAAATACATTTTTAATTTTCATTCAAATGTAATTCATAACTTAGTTACATTTTTTTTTGTTTTCGATTAAAATTACTCTCGAAGCGGAATGATTTGAAAAATACGAATAATTATACAAAAACTGTTAAATCTGTTGATCATTTACACATTCGCGGGACGAGGGAAAAATTACGGAAAAAGAAAATAATAAAACCGTAATTCATTATAAACAAATTTTACCTGATTCCTACCAAGAAAATTCGTCGAATAGACTGGCACAGAGACCGAAATCATGAGGCTACGTAAACACCTATTAAGAAAAACTAAATAAAAAAATATTGATTAATCAAAGACCAAGCAACCCAAGAGCACAATTCAAAGCAAATTCAAAATCCTACCTTTTCATCGAGCTTTTCGTCCTTATTTTCATCGATAGGGCTTGGTGGATCAGGAAAATCTGACTCGTCCGGCATGTTTTCGCACATTGGGGCATACTCTCAAGATTTTTCTATGGGGAAAACCGATTTTTCACCGATCTTGGGAGTGTTTACTACCGCGGAAATCGCAAAAAAGGGCTGAACAAGAAAGATATCAAGCACACGCGGCAGGCGCGTGTGTCTACGGGGGGTTTTCCATTCAGGAGAATAAAAAAAACTATCTAATTTACCGTGAAACTCAGGGAAAATATTGACGTGAATATTAGTAAACACAGAAAGCTAAACCGAAATGATAGGCGGGTTCTTTGTCAGTTTGACGTTGTTTTGAATATAGTGTTGCCATCTACAGCTTATTAATTAAACCTCCGCCAATATAGAAAGGGAAACCTTCCTTACCGAGCAATATATAAATAATTTCAGTTAATTAATTTTACCAATGCAACTATTTAAATTCATAAATATATACTGTTTCTATATTAATTACAAGTCTTCATTAATCTAGTTATATGATTCTTAACTAAATCAAATAAATTGAATAGATTTGAAAAAATAGCAATTTGTAGGGTATACGAGCGTGATTAGTAATTACGTGGATAGAGGGTGAGACATACATTGACACTATTGACAGTAGGTAACCAGTATTGCGCACACGATATATTTTGAGTATTTTTCAAAAGTTTCAATGCGTCAAAATTAATGGAACTTCTTATACATTGCTTTTAATTAACACTAGCTGCTCAATCGCTCTGCAACACAGATTCCAAAGATTCTGGAATATCCTTCCGTTTTCAAAAACTCGCCAACACTAAACGCCAAATGACGGAACAAAACCGCCACTGAACCTCGATTTGTTTCCGATTTCAAGCCTTCCCAACACGTTTCGCTACGTCAAAGCTTATAGACTGCTTATATTTAGCTTATGAAGACACAAGACTATAATGCTCTTCAATCGCTCTACGTCCTCAGACTCGTAAAATTCTGAATATATGTCAGCTCGCACACTAAATGGATCAATTATTATGCTTTTGTACCCCTATCCAAAAAGTGACTATTTTTCATTTTGCACCTTTTCAACATGTTCCGATATACCAAGCCGTGACCAAACCCGGCAAAAATACCTAGATCCGTTTGTATCTTGCCTAGCATGAGTTTATGAATCTCTTCAGTTGCTTTATGACTGGAGCATTTAAGATTTCTGAAAATCTCCATCTCTAAAACCTTGGCAACACTGTAGACTAAATGACGGATCAAAACCACCTCCGTACCCCGGCCAAAAATTCGTAATATTTTTCAGCTGTCAAGTCCTTATCAATCCATTTGTACAAATACAGAAACACTGATATCACCTGATCGTCAAATGAAATATTAATCAAATCATTAGGATGTGCCTCGGCTAGGTCTCGATCAATTATTCAATCAGAACTACGTGGTGTTGATTCCACCGCTCAGAACCACGTCAGTGATTGTGGATCTGTGGTCCTTGACACTCTTTTGTAGCTAGAACATTCGAAAAATGGCATCGAGCGCTACAGAAACTACCAAAGAGTCCTCCACTTCGGGCAGCGGTAGCGGCGACAACTCGGAGACCAAAGATGAAGAAAAGAAGGACGATAGTATGTTTGAGTGCAACATATGTCTGGACACAGCAAGAGATGCAGTTGTCAGTATGTGTGGACATTTGTTTTGGTGAGTCTTCGTCTCCTGATAACCTTGTGTGATAAGGGAAGTCAGAACTGATAAGGAAATGCATGGTTTATTGTAGGCATGGGCAAAGGATAAAATGCACAATGTTATTTGTTCTGTCTACTTTTATGCAGTGTGCCCCAGATTTGTCAATTTTCTACACCTACATTTAAACACAAAAAATAATGCCACAGGTTACTGGGCTCCCTTATAGAGATACAGGTCCCTAGGGGATGCTACTGGAAATCAGTTTTTTTCAAATAAGTTTAGAACAACACTAGAATTCAACAAAATTTTGGCAGCTTAATAAATAGTTGTGGGTTCACATGATGGGGTCTACAGAATATTAAGGTGGATTCTTTAATTCACCGGTTGATTCCACCACTGTTGCTTATGGTTGACACTGTTGACAGCTTTGTATGGTAATGGCAGCAACCGGTTGAATTAAAAGGACAGATGTCTGGTCCACCGGTGGCACCAGTTGCTCAACCGGTGAATTAAAAAATACACCATTAGTATATCACAGATAACACAGTTTTATATAGATTGTTTATAATCGTCTATGGCAGTCCCATCTAAAAAAAGTACTTCTGAATTTTTAAAAAAAAACTTCTTTTGCTGTTATTCTGTAATATCTCAAATGAGGGAGATATTTTATTAAACCTTGATTTTGAGTATCTCAAAAGCGACAAAAATATATTGTTACATAAAAAATGATAGTTTTTCTATTAAAATTTAATTTGCTCTTATTGAACTTTACATGTTTGTAATTGATTTTATGTTAGACTTGCATTTATAATACCTCAGTATTTATCACTTTGTTATTACTACTTGAACTTAAGACATGAAGCACAAGTATCAGTCCACTTGCAACCAATGGCATTTATGATGGCCACTTTCCAGGATCCTTCTGCATCTTCTGCTATTGACCACTGAGCAAACTATTTCTATCCAATAGACACACAGAAGTATACAATCAAAAAATACCTTTCAGGGATGTAAATCTATAATCTCTCCCCGATTGCACACAATTATTCTATGCATTAAATAACACTATAACCTCTTGACTTCTTACAAAAGTCTTGCCTGATACTGTTTCTTCACTTTTACACATACTGAACAGCTACAAAATGAGATGAATGAATGAGATTTCTGTTTTTAATTACAACAGTTGTCCTGGTATTTTTTTTAATTGTGAGACTACATTTCAGAATAATGATCTTGACACAAATAGTGATACCACTGTACATTTTTAATATAGTTAGTATGGGTCACTATTATTAGATTGCCCTGTAGACATGTGTATAAAGTTGATCATAAAGGTTACACCCCCTGATGGGACCCATGAACAGATTAGCCCCTAACACAATATTACCTGCAACTGAACAAGTATTTGATTTCAGTTGGCCCTGCCTTCATCAGTGGCTAGAAACACGACCAAATCGTCAGGTTTGTCCAGTATGTAAAGCAGCAATCAGTAAAGAAAAAGTAGTACCTTTGTATGGGAGAGGTAGTACAAAGCAGGAGGATCCACGTGAAAAGGTATAATTTTTGTCATGGGAAACCATGCTTTAAACATGAATTTCCCATAAAAACAAAGACACATCCCATGCAAGTTGGCAAGGAAGTATTGTAATTGGTAAAGATTTTGAAAATAAGATGTGTTTTTGATATATGGCATGTTTCTTAAAAAGTACTATGCCATTCTTTTCCATCAGTCTATCTACCTGTTTGTCCTTTGTCCCTCTATAAAGCACTGCTCGGATTTTAATGAAATGTTGATACAAGGACGCAGTATTTGGCTGTAACGCCATCATGAACATATTGCAGCTTATGACCCGGCTATAACATCTTGGCTACATCAGCTATATTTCGGCCCTAGACCTTGGCAACATGATTTGCATTACATTAACTAGGATTTTGACAGTCTGACTAATATGTGAAAATAGGATGGTAATGCCAAAAGTAGCAATATAACCGGCCCGGGTATTACGTAAAAAACCTGTAAAACGTCAAAAACCTATAAAATGTCATCTTGCAAACTAGGTAGTTTTTAGGGTGCAAACAGTCATTCCTCATTTGCTCACTAGGATCGTTGCGAGCGTCCATCTATGGAGGAATGACTCAAATAAACTACACGCATAGTTGGTTGCATATGTTTTGTGAAGCCGAGTGGTCTGTAGTTTTCATCTCTGAGAAGAAAGTTGGTTGAATATCAAGATCGCATCTGGATGATTATGTGTATTGGTCTGCATCATTACTTAATATGCTGCCAATGAAGTATATCTATTAGCTGTGCCCGGCGAGTTATTTGAGTTGTGCTTTCTGAAGATAGTTATAAATTACGAAAAACGTTGAGGAGAATTACGGGAAATCAAAACCACGCCCACGCCCGCGTTGTTTGTAATTACTGTTAGCATGTATATGGCTAATTAATTATTCCTTATCTCTCTCATTTTTTAAATTCAGCAAATTTGCACATGTAATTTCTAGACTGGATAGGAAAAAATGGATGCGCCACTAATTTCTAGCTTTGAATCTCAAGTAAGTGTATTTGAGACAAGAATCCAACGGAATTATCATCAACACATACAACTTACAGCTTAGACCTCCAGTAATGCCATCTCTGAAGCAGATTTTACATCAGAGCCAAACATTGATAACTAAAGACTCATGACGTTTAGGCACAATGAACTGTCAACACTGATGGAATCGCCCAGTCCCATTTGTACAATGAAACGATAGTGCGGCCAACATAGGACAAAGAGGTGCGAGAGAGAGATGGAGCTAGTCAGGGCAAAAAGCGCGCGGACTTGAATGAATTGCATAGGAAACCGAGGATTCTTAGAGAAGATTTAAAAGTTATTCAGGCAACTGGAACGAGATAAAATCCTGGAAACGTAATTATAATTAAAAAACCAAGTTTATTTATTTATATATAGATATGTATGAAACTTGACAATAAATTCTCCTTTACACATTTGAAGATTTAAAAATTAGTATTTAACATAAGTAATTAATAATTCAGGTAGCAAAGAGATTACATGTCTGCTTATAATTAACTTAACTGCTCTAATATGCTATTTCTTACATATAAAAAATAAGAGATCTAAGGAATATCACAATAAATACATGTTATTTTCTATATATCTTTATAATGTTCCAAATAGTATTTATGCACATTTAAATTTATTTTTATAGTACTGTAGCTGTCAACACTAAATGTAGTGGGAACACGTCCAGTTTTGTAGAGATTAAAGTGTACAAAGAAAAAACCCTTTTTTATATATACATATATATATATATATATATACAAAATATTTGTGCACAATGGCATTAACAATACTGTAGATGCACAGTTTTTCAGTATAATACAATATAGGTTATACCATAGTTCATTCTAGAAATTATGTATTCATGTTTTCTTCTCAAAATCCTTCGATGGCTAGGTTATTTCTTGAGATGGGCTGGAAAATCAAACACAGATGGAACTGCCACCTTTTTTAGTACCTTATTTCCATGAACACTAACTTCATAATCCTCTGGAGTGAAATCCTTTTCACAAATTACCGTTGTTGTACTGGGAGTAAAGTTTTCTCTTCTTATGGCATGTAATCACAACTTCCTCATGTTAGGATCTGTAGGTATCCTAAAAATCCAGATATTTTCTCGAATTACCAATTAACAGGTAATTCTCACACAAAAATGAATGAGATGATTAAAACCAACCTGTGAAACTTCATTTTCACATCTATTCTGTGTCTATTGCAACAATTCACCGCACTGCAAGATTCAACCATTTTTAAACAAATATCACATAAAACAACAGCTCTTGAAGGCTGTCCGGCATAAAAACGTTTATAATAATTGTCGCAAACTATCACTATTAATCTTTAACGTCACTAAAAACAAACATTCACCAAAAATCCTTAGAACGTATATGGAAATACCACCATGGAGCACGATGTTTTGCCTTGACTAGCGCTATCCTTCTCGTTTCTCATTCTAGCCGCAATGAATTCGCGTTACGCCTGTTCCATCAGTGTTGACAGTTCATTGTTTAAGCATCACGTACAATTAAGTACTAAGTTAACATCTTGTAGAAAAACCTACATAATAAAAAAAAACAGTATTATGTCAATGTCGATATAACGTCAACTGATGACGACATCGAGTGGAAAGTGCAGAGTCAACTTAATTGACGCTAATTTAATCTTTCAGGTGCCCCCCCGACCAGCAGGCCAACGTACAGAACCAGACCCAGCCACTGCTGGATTCCCCGGATTCGGCTTCGGCGAAAATGGCTTCCACATGTCGTTCGGCATTGGGGCATTTCCCTTTGGTTTTTTCACTTCAACATTAAATTTTGGGGAACCCCGACCAGGGGCCGCACCTAGGGGTACCCAACAACACTTGGAGGAACAGTTCCTATCTAAGGTTTTCCTGTGGCTGGCTGTGCTGTTCATATTTTGGCTGTTAATGGCTTAATAATTTACTAGGAGACCAAAAAAAGTTGGTAGAATCGGAGAAAGTTCGGTAGTTTTGGTTTTTCTCCTGGTGTATATATGCCCTTACTACAAAACCCCTTGTTTCGCTTCAAAGATATTCCAAGATGCCGCCTAGCCGCCACCTTAAAACATTAACTTTTACGTCAAAATATGCATTAATTTCAGCACCCCGACCTGTTCGAAAAACAGGGAGTACCTTTTTGAAAAGCAATTTGGCGAAAAACCATATATAACTTACTGTCTGAATTTTTGTACATATCGTCTCCTTCCGGAGAAAATCACTCCTAACGGACATTTTTTCATTGGAGACAAAAAACTAGCTTGAAGATTGTGTTTATCTAATAACGAAATGTATACTAATTGTTGAAAAATCGGCCACACATAGATGAAAACAAAAAAATGTGCCAAGTATACCACTACATTTTTTTTTAATGAGTTACACAATTCTTGTCCTTGAAGTCGGGGACATACTTATTTTTTCAGAAAGACAAAATCACGTATTTTATCATTTATTTTCATCACATTCAATGTATTAAAACATATTTCATAGTAAAAAGATCAACTTCCTTTGTAGGGAAGTTTGTCGTAGAAGGTACTTATATTGCGTTGACGGCTTTTAACGTGTAAATAGTGATTTCGGGACATGGATATTTTGAGCATCAAGCTACCTTTATAGTTAAAAGTTGCCTAAAAATCACATTTTTGAGAAAATGTGGAGTTGCGCGATTTTCTTCCGAACGCGACGATATAGCACACAAAAAATCAAAACTACTGATCTTTTTTGTGGGATACAACCTATTCATCATTGGTCTATAAGGCAGATGGGTTTTCTGACTTTAGAAGATGGTTGACATTATTACTTTGTATCACTGTTTATGTGACAAAAAGCTGTGATTTTATTTGATTCTCTCAAATTTCAGTAGGAAATCCTTTGTACACTCTTTCTACAGACTTGATGGACTTTATGAAATTCCTAAAAATAATGAAAACTACTTATAATCAATTGGTGCACCCTGTATATTTGTCAGTAGGTTATTGTTATATGTTATATATATACAGATACAGATAGATACTTATTTATAAAAATATATGATACAGTGGCATTAGTGTGTATTATGTATTTATATTTTATAGTACTTCCAAATGTCACTGCAAAAATCTGCCAGGTCTCTTCTAGAGACATGTATAAATTGCATTAAGTTAGTGAGTTTGGAGGCATTGGAAGTCAGGAAATTATTCCTTCTCAATACAAAATTTTCACAAGCGATAAATAAACATTTTTTCTTATTAATCCTTCTACTATCTATGCTAGTAGACGACGCGAAAACCTGTCATTCGTGGGAGCAAACTATTTCTTTTTGTGTGATTTGATTAAAAAAAAAACAAATTCGCACCGGGTGACCGCCAACCTCATGATTTACACAAACGTGACAATAAAAAACTAGTTGGAAAATTTCTCCAATGTAGATGAGGTTTTTGCATAAGGAAAATCTGTCATGTGCAACCAACAAATTCGAATAGATTAGAAAGAGGCAAGCCTCAAAGTACCTTTGACACTTGCAATATTTCCATTCTTTTAGTATGTTCAAGTGTTTGTTACCATTTTGCTACAAAACTGTAACACAAATCTTTTTTGAATGGTGGTGATTTAAGAAATGATGAAGTATTGAATATTTCCTCATTCTAGTCAAATCATAATAAAGGCAATGAAACTGTGAATGCAGAGTTTTAATTTATTTGAAATAACCTTAAGGCAATAGAGGGTAATGATCCTCCAGTAGTATCTACGTAGTCATGCCATAAGTTCTGTCCCTCGTTTTCAAACAAGTGTAGACCTGTTAATACTTGTCCGATTGTTTACATTGTGGTGTCAGTTGATTAAGCGCTTTTCGGGTAATTACATATACCTCAGTTTGTATTGATCTCTCGAAGCATAACGATGGAGTGGGGCAAGGCAGAGAACCGTATTGCAGTGATAGCTTTACATAAGTGTAATCACAGTGCTAGTCAGATTTTTGAACTCTTACGCGGCCTTCAAATATCGCGTAAATTTGTGTCTAGGACCATTCAGCGGTACAATGAGACGTCCTCTGTTGATGACAGGCCAAGAAGCGGAAGACCTCGTCAAGTAAGGACTCCAGCAGCCATCAAAGCCGTAAAAGCCAGGATTCAAAGGAATCCACTCCGGAAGCAGAAGATCCTATCCAGGGAAATGAAGATTCCTGTCCGGACGATGTCGCGCATCATTAAACAAGACCTAGGGCTAGGGGCTTACCGGAGACGTACGGGCCAGCGACTTACGGCCACCTTGCGACACATCAGGGCGACAAGATCCAAGAAGCTCTTGGAGAGGTACGCAGCTGGGGGATTCCGAAAGATTTTGTTCACGGATGAGAAAATCTTCACCATAGAAGAAAAATTCAACCGACAAAATGACAAAGTGTATGCAAGGAGTTCACAGGAAGCTTCGGAGATCATTCCGAGAGTTGAGAGAGGCCACCACCCTGCGTCAGTCATGGTTTGGTGGGGGGTGTCCTACGAAGGGGTCACTCAGCTCCATTTCTGTAAACAGGGCGTGAAAACAAAAGCGGCAAACTATCAGAGCGACATACTGGATCCTATCGTCAAGCCTTTAAGTGGTACATTGTTTGCCAACCAACACTGGGTCTACCAGCAGGATTCCGCCCCCGCTCACAAGGCTAAGAGTACGCAGCGCTGGCTGGAAAGCAATGTGCCAGAGTTCATTGCTGCGGAAGATTGGCCCTCAGGGAGTCCGGACCTCAATCCTTTAGACTACAAGTTGTGGGACCTGCTAGAGCAGTTGGCCTGCTCCAAAGCCCACCGTAATATCGAGTCCCTGAAAGCGGATTTGATCCGATCAGCGGCAGCTATTCCTTTGGAAGCTGTGCGTGCAGTGATAGATGAGTGGCCCGCGAGATTGAAGCAGTGTGTGAAGGCCAAGGGGGGACATTTTGAATAAAACTGTTTGATTATGAATTCTAAAAATGTTGTCGAATAAATAATATCTTTCATATAAATATATCTTATCTTGTTTCATTTTTATCATGAGATTATCATGGGACAGAACTTATGGCACGACTATGTAAGATAAATTCTAGAATCTTCTCTGCAACGGCCTGTGTAAATCCTTATCTTATCCTTGACGAAACTCATTGATTCTGGCCAAGTGGTAAAACTGTGTAGTGTCTGTAGTTGCTGGGGGTCAAATGTAGCAGAATTGCGCTTTTGCACAAAAATAAAAAATAACGGTAGAAATAGTGTTTTATTAAATCTTTATCAGGAGGGATATCACATAATTTTTTGCTTAAAACCTAGTAGCAGTACTTTAGTCATTTCAAAATGCAAATCAATGATATTTCGAGATATACAACATGTTTGACTCGTCACAAAGTTCCGAGATGTTGATGTTCACGTTCTTCACTCGCACCAGTTTGCTTTTTGAATCAATGTAAACCAAAAGCAATTGAAACGACGCCGAAGACTCAAAAATACATAATTATTAAATAAAAATACCCATATATTTGAGATTATTGGACTGCAATTTGACCCATTGGTTTCAAAGTCTCCGCAACTTCGAAGTTACAGCCAGTTGATGCCAAAACATCTTCAATGCCTACACCTTCCGCCAGCTCTATCAACTTCAAACCTAGAGAACAGAAAAAATGTTATCTACTGGATTTATTAAGAAATCTAAGCAAGCTAATATATTCTATTCAGCCTTGGTTTATGCAACTTTTGCATAGTACATCAATGCTGGTAGTATGGTGAGCACTCGGTGCTTCCCTGATTGATGAGACGCCTATGTAGTTGGCGGTATGGCCGCAACGGATATCCGGTTAGTATCAGGCTACCATTTATTGACTGGCCAGATAACCAAACCAGTGTCCTGCGGATGCTACAAAAACCGCAAAATGAACGAACTTAATTTTGTAGGTGTTTGGAATCAGTTACACGATTCAGTTTAAAGCATGGATTTGAGTGCCACTTTTTTAACAATTCGTTTGGTCAACTGAATTTGACGGTTGCACACCGTTTGAAAATCGCTACTAGAACATGGCTGTTCCTGACAGTTGACTGCCCATCATGCATAGTGATTGTTACTTTGCTTAATTCAAAGCATTTTCACATAAATGTCAACTTCTCTAGCAATGTATTTTTTGTGAGAAATGTTCATGGTCTAAGGTGTTTCCTTCTGCTATTACTTCTTATAAAGTGCAACGTATCTTCTCCTCTTCTGGAAGAATCTTCGCTATAATGCTACGAGTCTTTTGGATCCGGTCGGCTATCCAGCCGAGTAACAAACCGAATATCCGATTATCGGGCCAATTCACTGCAACCCTGCAACTAGTTTCCTGCTGTCGACGTAAAGGTCGGTAGTACCGTCTTTGGCGGACTAGTGAATTGATAAACGCTCCAATGACACATCATAGATATACTTTAAAAAAAGGAGTCAAGTAGGTTGACTCTGCATTTTCTATGCAACGCTGTCATCAGTTCATAAAGGATTATGTTTGGTACAAGTTAGACCCTCTCAGCTATGAAAATGTATAACAAGTAAATTAGACGGGTCGAGCCTGTCGAACATGCCCATAAAAATGTTCCTTGCTGCACCGAGTTACCTCGCTGTTCGCCGCAGTCAGACAGTCGCGGCAGCCCACCAGTTAGACGACAGCGATCGGACCATAACGCAGTGCAGAGGGAGCTAGACACCAGAGTCGCGTATTTCCCGTCATCAAGTTTTGAGAGAAAATGTATGGGGAAATCTATGACGTGTTAAATATGTATAATATAATTACCGGTGTTGACAGCGTATAAATATACAAATACTAAAATATGATCTAACATAAAAATTAAGATATAGCCGAAATTTTTCTGGAAATGATCAGTAGCTTCTGAAATGTCAAAAAATTAAGTTTGAGACTTGTTTTTTTTTTCGTTTTTTGCCCCGTAGCTCCACCACCAATGGACCGATTTTCAAAAACTACAGAGCTTTCTCATCCTTATCGTAATAGCAAGCTTGTGTAAAAAATGGAATCCAAATCGCAGTGGTACTTTCCAAGGATTAACGGACAGATGGAAGAGAGTAACATTGGTTTTTCGTGATGAACATTTCTTACCAGTGGCGTAAGCAAGCGTTTTTGTTGTTTTTTCATGCTTTCCTGATTTAAAAAACGAAAAATCGAGGGTTCAGTTTCAACAATTTTGTGAAACAGATTCACTATACTCCATTTAATGTCCACGAACCTTATTCTTCATGTAGTGTTAAGGAAATCTCCGTATAAATGTAATTCCTAAACAAAGAATTGGGGTTGATAAACAATTTTTAGTACCTGTTTTTAAATCAACACTGTTACCAAATACCGTGAAAAAGTGTGACCAGATCACGACTTCAGGAACTAGGTGCTTTACAGAAACGGTGAATGGTAGCATGGAATCACGGTGTTACCTTTGAATCTGCCTGAGATACGCATGAGCGTATATCACCGTAAGACTATATCGTGCGTTATAGCCTTTGATAGTTGGCTCCATGCGATTTAATCGTGGTATTTTGCTCAAGATATCAGTATACCCTTAAGATCATATCATTATTCGAGAGCCGTGATCGCGTAACGGTTTTAAATATCTGATATCAAAAAGCAATTATATCAGATATCACAGATATTCAAAAATAACGATATCGGCCAAAAGAATGGAATATGGTTAATCTATCGGTAACGATTTCACAAAAATTGTATATAATAATAATAATAATAACAAAATGTCTTTATTAGGCACATTATATATACTACAACATAATGTGACCTCTACGTAGGCGAAGTCTAGCTCTTAGCTACTCTACTTAACCTACCCAAATAAATTGAAATACTTAATCAAAGAAAACTTTGACAAGCAGCAAAAGACGTTTCAAAACAATGAGCTTGATAGCTTCCTGACATACATAATATATACACACATATATTACGTAAAAATAAAATATATAAGAATTAAAAACTAACTTTTCCACAATTACTACACTGACAAATACTCGTAAATCTGTTTCACATGCTTACGAAATCTGTTTACTGGCCAATCCTTTATATTGTCATCTAATTCATTATAAATCAGGATAGCATTGTAAGTGTATGAACTACGAAATAAAGTTGTTTTATACATAGGGATCTCTAGTCTTTTTTGTGTCTAAATTATTTCGTCTGAAAACAAATTTCTCATAAAGATACAAGGGGGATCGAGAAGATATGATCTTATGTGTAAACACTGCTATATGGTACTTGCAAGCATTTTCTATACACATCCAACCAAGCTGAAATCTCTTTAAGGAAACATGATCATACTTCTTGAGATTAAATACAAATCGACAACAAGTATTTTGGAGTTTTTGGAGTCTTGCTTTTGTGATAGAATCAAGACAATGATAGAACACAGTGCTACAGTAAAATAAGCTTGGAAATATAATAGCCTCACATAACTTTTTTCTAACTTTTAAATTCAAAATAGAGCGATTGACATAAAAACACTTCAAAGTTGCATAACATTTTTTTAAGATAGACGAAACATGCTCCTTAAACCGTAAAGTATAATCAATAATCAACCCTAAATTTTTTTAGTATTTACGACAGCTAGACGCTCCTTGTCGATTTTTACATCAAGAGAATTCAATATAGTGTTACGTTTGACAGCAGGACAAAAAAGCATCACTGAGCACTTATCCTTATTGAGCTTAAGATTGTTACCATTTGAGTATGCTACTATTGCCTCCAAATCATCATTAAGCTCATTGATTGAAGTATGTAAAGTGTTACTATTAAAGCTCTTATATATCTGTGTATCATCGGCATAGCACATCACAGAAGAGTTTCTCTCAGAGCTACCCAAGTCTATAGTATAAATTAAGTACAACAAGGGCCCTAAAACTGAACCCTGAGGGACACCTGATGTTATATCAATCGGACTAGATATAAAAAACATTAGAGGTGTGTCTGAAAAACCAAAAAACTTCAATTTAGCACATAAAAGCTCATGATCTATTTTATCGAACGCCTTAGAATAATCTAATGATACAAGTGCTGAAGCATCTCCCTTATCAAGCGAAGCAATGATGTCATCTAAAACCCTTGCTAAAGCTGTAGTTGTACTAAAACCACTGCGGAAACCAGATTGACACTTGGGAAAGAAATCATTATTAGAGAAATAATGATAAACCTGATGTTTAATCAATTTCTCCAATATCTTCGATATAACAGGAATCAAAGTTATAGGTCTTAAGTCTGAGAGACATTTTGGATTTTTACATTTAGGCAAGGGCTTGACAAGAGATAGTTTCCAAGCATCAGGGAAATACCCAGCCTCCAGGCAACAGTTCAATAAATGCGTCAATGGTAGTAGTACTCGAGGCAAGCAATGCTTAAGCATTGAGACTGTTATACCATCCGAACCTGCTGCATTAGATTTTAGGGACAGAATTATGTCTAGCAAATTTTGTGGGATAGCAAAACTAAATTCAAATCTAGCACTTTCATTAATTTTGGTACTATTAAATTTATCAACTAGATCCTTGCAATTGCCCGAAGGTGTGAAAACGGAAGAAAAATAATTGTTTACTTCATCGGCATTTTTCAACTGCGTAGGTAAAGATCTATCTACATTAGTTTTGAGTTTCAATGAATGTACAGCTTTCCAGAGATGCTTGTTACTATTTAGTTGTTCATTGAAGCTTTCTCCCGCCTAATAGCGGAAATGACATCATTTCTTAATTTCTGGTAATATTCGAGACTAGCTGGACTTTTTAAAATCTGATACTTTCTGAAGGCTTTATCTCTCTCAGAGATCAAAAATTTTATGCCACCTGTGAGCCATGGAGCATAAGGTTTAGTAATACGTGCTGAAACAACAGGAGCATGGACATCAAACAAATCCAAAAAATGATTAGAAAAAACGTAGCTTTATCCTCTAAGTTACTGATGTAATATATATCATCCCATGGGATTTTATACAAATCCACCAAAAACTGATCTTTACAACAATGTTTAAAGTCTCTATATTTGACAGTCTTTTGAAAATTCATAGGTCGTGTGATGTTGAAGTCACATCTGACTACATTATGATCTGACAAATTCGGAACAGGTGCAGAGCTAGTTGAAATTAATGATTCAGCTAAGTTATTTGTTGTACAAATGACATCTATGGAGGTTGCCGTGGTTAAAGTTATCCTAGTTGGTTGGGTGATGTGAGATACCATATCGTAGCACGTAATACGTTACAATCTAGAAAAGAATGGTCAGTAAGTTGATCAACGTTTATATCACCCAGCAAGCATATATTATCATACTGAGGAGACACAAATGAGAGAAAGTTGTCTATATGATCAATAAAGCTTGATAATCTGCTCGAAGGAGCCCTGTAGATAACACAAACCAAAATTTTTAGATTATTCAACAGTATTTCAGCACAAACCTGCTCCATACCATATGGACATAAAAAAATCTTGAAATACCAGCTTACCTCTCAGTGAATCCCTTAAATAAACACCAACTCCTCCTCCACATCCTACTCGATCAGTATGGAAAAAAGTGTACTCAGGAATATTTACTATATCTGCTGTAAAATCATTATTAATCCATGTTTCGGAGATACCCATAATATCATAGTTATCAGTAGTCAACAAATCTACAAAGGAATCAAAGCCAGCAAACAGAGATCTTACATTCAGGTGTCCAACAACAAAATGGTTATAAGTTTTTGTGCAATTATTCATAAACAATCTGCATTTTCAAATTATCGATCTTCATTTTGTAATAACTGCAAGAGGTATCACTTGCAACATGCTTTGTACACCAGTTAGTTTTATATCTCTCATTATGAAACTTACAGTTAGGACAACAAGAATCATCAGCTTTACAATCTCTAAATTCATGAAAACCTGAGCACTTAGAACAGACAACATTCTTGCTTCGGCAATCTTTCTTACCATGACCAAATTTACAACATTTGTAACAACGTAGCAAATATAAATTTTCCCTCACAGTACATCTCACCCAGCCAATAAAAACAAACCCTTTGCTACTAAGTAAATTGAACACAGAAGGAACCACCTCGATAACAACATTTTTTGAATTTTTAACCTTATAGCAACTAATTATTTTTATATCATCTGAATTAACACCTAAATTGTTATTGAATATTAAGTCGTCAACAAAACTATCAACAAATTCAAGATTATCTGGACCAGGATTTTTGAAACAGTCGTTAGGTACACCCTGTATCAACATTCTAGGAAACATTTTGGTAGGCTCACAAACATCGAACTTACTTCCTAAATCAGATTTTAGAGAATCTTTTAGAGTCTCCACATCTTTTTTACTATTTTAGCAGATCATCAGACCATTTTTGGTGAGTTTAGTCTTGTTGATATTGACATTAAGAGCACCAGGCGAATAACGAGATTTAAAATCATTTTCGACAGTTTTGTACGAAGTAGAACGATCTGCAGGCTTAATCAACAAATATGAATGGTCCACTTTTTTCACGATAGCACTGTACGAAACACAATCTTTGTTTTTGCTGCTGTTGCCCACTGGCTGACTTCGAAATTTATCTTCAAGGTCACTTATGAGTTTTTTCTGAATTTCCACAATATTTCCTCTCTCGTTTGCGATTTTATCGATCAATTTTTTTTTCTCTTACCAGGCACTCAATTTCTTTTTCCAATACAGCTAAATCACTTTCGGGCATACTAGCACTGATCCTTGACGCCCGTGAACCAGACACCATTCTAACTTCAGACTTTTCAGGTTTTCGATTAAATACTGCTTCCCCAAAATCTGCCATTTTCAGCTTGCCATTTATCATTGGAAGACAATCGCTGCAGAACCATTTGATTTCCGCACAATCACGCTTAACTTTAGCTAATTTGTCGTCGACCTCAGCACAATGATGATGAAACAACTTTTTGCAAAAATCGCAAGAAATATTCTTGGTATTCACAATAAAATTATCTGAGCATCGAGCACACGCCTGTATGCCGGACGCCATCTTTTTCCGACTAAGCCATCGAAATATCATCTAACTTACCGTTTTCAGGATGAACTTCGAACACTCCTTTTTCAGTGATGATCATATTGACGCATTTCTGTCCGGTGAGCGGCAGTGTACAGTCCTCTAGAATCTTGTGACTTCCGTCTTTCGCTGTATGTTCCATGCAGACTATCACCTTGGTACCAGGAGCGGAAACAAGGTCCATTGCGCCACCCATACCTTTCACCAGCTTACCCTGTCAAAAAATAGCGTTTCGCGTATATCAGATATATATATCTTAGAGAGCGTTTTCGGGACGATGGATGTGGGTAACGTGCCTGGTATATTAAAAAAGGAACGACAGATAACCTGATGTTCGCTTTGGCTTTAGGGGGCTGGATATGCTTTGGGAATGGGAATGCCTACTCGGGCGATCCTAGGCTTCTCTGGTTTTACGCGGTGCCATTTTTAAATTGTAATCATGGCTTCGTGCCACCTCGATATTCTATAGAACAGATCAGTCTATTGCCGCAACACACTATATAGGAATTAAGAAAAAAAAAATATATCAACTGTCACCAGGAAGACAGAAAAACAAAAATATACTGTCATTGTACTTGAAAAAGACCACTGTGGTGGACGAAACGTCGTACAATAAAGGCAAATCATAACGTATATAATTTTTAATCTGATTAAACATTGGTGCCCTATGTTAACCAATGCTCAAACTAGAAATGATTCAAATGAACTTACAGGTATCATCCAGTTTGCCAGATCTCCATACTGTGACACTTCCATGGCTCCTAAAATAGTCAAGTCAATATGGCCTCTGAAAATTAGAAAATGATATATAAAAACCAGTCAAGTTTCTAATTTCCTTTCAGTTACAGGTACAGGTTTTAATGTTTCTAAATGCGTGATTCTGGTGACAGGTGCCACTTGTGTACTATCACTTCTACTGGGTTTCAGTGTAAAGGGTCACAAAAGGTACTTCGGATTTTTTTTACACCTTCCTTCAATGACTTGATTTAAATATTTTTTATTGAGCTTGTGTCATCTGGCGACCCATGAATTCAATTATGAATCCTTTTACGACGGAGAAATGCATCAAAATTATTGCGTACTAGAGACGTTCATGAAAATTACGAGAGTTGACCATACATATGGACTTTTCATGCCTCCAATTAGATAATATGCGCATTATGCAATATGTTTTTTCAACATGATGGGATCACGTGTCATACGGCGAAGGAAACTACGAAATTGTCACCAATACGACGCATTATTACTGGTTAACGTTTTGTTAGGGGATTACTCAAGGATATGATCTATTCAAACAATCTGCAAAGAGGTTAATAACCTTAAGCAGAACATTTCGAAGGTTATTGAGGAATTGAGTATTTTACTTCCATAATTATAATTATAAACGGTATTATCGAAATAAGACAGCAGAATCGACCACTGCAAGATTCTTGTATAGATAGAGGATAGTTGCTCAGCTTTCATTCATTGTCCTATCCGAGACCAAACCTAGACCATGCTGATGAGGTGCATATTCATATTTGTCCAACATATCTCAGAAAGTTATGATTAAGAACAATGATGTGAAAATAATCTCGACCCAAAGATGTATATGGCGTTTCTCAAGGAAGCATTTTGGGTCCTCCATTATTTATATTCTTTGATAACGATTTAACTGTAAGCTGCCAAGATACATTTATTTCTATAAATGCGGATGATACTGTTTTTCTTGTAGCAGGTGGAGACAGTCTTTCACTTAGAGGAAACGCCTGTAGATCCTGTGATGTGGAAAATTATTGCGACCTAATGGTCAGGTCTTGAACAACAATAAAACTGAATGACTTCTGTACAATACTGTTAAGTTAGACTTCAGCCTACTTATTAAATGTTGTGGCAATAGTGCACATTTTAAATGTCTGGCTATTTATTTTGACGAAGCTCTCGCATGGTCTAAGTAAGTAGATGTTATTGCTCAAAAATTAACGACTCACTGTTATAAAATATGGCAAATTATATTCCGATATCGAGATTTGTTAATGTACTACTGTGCCTACAAGCTCTCTATACTCAACTACTGCATTATATACTGGGGTAACTGTACCAGAGCCAATGGAAACTTCTTAATTCAAAAAAGAATCTGTTCAAAGATTACAATGTCATGACAGTTATTTCCATATATATTTTCAATTGCGTTGTTTAGGTGAAAAAAATTATTACTAATTTTGTTTGTAGAGGTACTGACATCAGTTACAACTTGCGACCGAACCTCAACTTGTAACTTCCAGCACATAGGCGTACTCTCACTGCAAAAGGGCCTAACGTCATACTCGTTAAATTATACAATGAACTGCCAGACCATGTAAAAGAGATAAATACGGTGGCGGTATTTATAAAAGCTGTAAAAAATATATTTTCAGAAAACCCTTTCTACTCAGTGGAGGAATACTTCAATCATGATTTTTACTTGTGCTTTGACTATTATATACTAAGTGACATATAAATCCGAACACCCAGTTTAAATGGTTTTATTTTAATAAAATTTTGTATAAGTACTTGATGAAGCATAATAAGTAAATGATAAAAATTTCAAAATGATTGCACTGCTTTAAAGCCCTTTGACCTTTAATAATGTGTGGATGCACCCTGATGTGCTACGCATTCTCCAACGCGCCTAGGCATGCTTCTGATCAGGTGGTCAATGTCCTCCTGTGGTATCTCATTCCAGGCAACCACCAACTCCTCTCGAAGTGCTTCTAGAGTCTGAGGAGGACGTTGCAAATTGAGCAATCTCCTACCCATCATATCCCACACGTGCTCAATTGGGAATAATTCGGGAGATCTTGGTGGCCATGGTAACAATGTGACATCATTATGTTGAAAGAAGTCTATTGTGACTCTTGCAACATGTGGTCGGGCATTATCTTGTTGGAAAGTTGGATCTGCCGGGGTGTCAAGATAGGGTAAAAGATGGGGTTCTAGAACTTCGTGGATATAACGCTGCGCGTTCATGTTACCTCTGATGAAGATTAAAGGTGACCTGGAACCATAAGCTATAGCACCCCAAACCATAACTCCAGCAGTGTGATGAACATGTCTTTCAACAAAAAACTGTGGATTCCTCCTTTCACCACCTCGCCTTCTAACCCTGGCACGACCATCGTGCATGCCTAAACAAAATCGAGACTCGTCACTAAAGACAATACTGTTCCATTCCTGATCCCAGAGTGACCGTTGTCTGCACCACTCAAGGCGATTACGTCGGTGTTTTCGAGTTAAAGGGAGGACCCAGTGTGGCCGGTATGAAAACAAGCCAAAACTTCTCATTTGTCGGTAAACACTTCGCATGCCAATAGGTCTTCCGTGTTCTGCAAACCATTCATTTGCAATGGACCTGGTAGTGGAGAAACGGTCCCTTAAGGCCAATAATCTTAGGCGGCGATCTTCACGGTCTGTTGTTCTACGGCGGCGTCCAGTGCCCCTTGCTCTTTGCGTACGGCCTTCTCGAAGCCATGCCTGACAACACCTAACCACAGTGTCTACACTTCTTTGCACTCTAACTGCAATTGCCCGAAAAGAAAGTCCAGCTTCCAGAAGTCCCACTATACGGCCCTTATCAAACTCACTAAGTTGACGAAATCGTACAGGTCTCCGTACTCTAGGCATCGTAACCGATCGTAAAGGATGTCAAGAACCAAAATCCGCCAACGTTGATTCTTTACTGCGGCTGAAATATTCATTTTTAGAGCGTTAGTGAATTAAAAAAAAAAAGCAGTATAAAAACCGGAATGTCCAACTGATAAGGCTGAAAATTTTTTCACTTGTTATTTACAGTAAGATAAATACATTCACCAACTTTTATTAAAATAAAACCAGTTAAACTGGGTGTTCGGATTTATATGTCACTTAGTATAGTTTGTAACTACTGTGTAATATTATCTTTTTTGTTTTATTCACTGTAGGTATGTCTACTTTTGGCTATATTCCTATACTACCTTGTAGTCCAGTGGAAATAAACATTATTTTTCTATTTATTTGAATAACACGAAACAGCTGCTCATGGTTGGGCGTCTGTGGTCGGACGAATGAAGGCTATATTAATGTTACCTTACCCTCTAATCATGGCAAAACTGTCATCACTAGAGAAGAACGAAGCCCCTGGAACCACCGTGACTGTTTCTTTACCAGCATTGATTAGTTCTGAATCTATACAGTCTGGCAACGGGAACGGTCCAAGACCCAGGATACCATTTTCTGATTGCAGGAACACTTCCATCTTTTCTGGGATGTAGTTTGAGGCTAACATTGGCATGCCTATGCCTAGATTTGCTGTATTGTTATGTATTGAGGAAAATAATCAGTAAATTTTGCTCAAATTCTGCTTCACTTCATATGACTCCAAAATTTGGAGAAGCTCTATAAGCTACATAATACGTATATTCGTAAGTCCTTTAGCGTTTCATCAAAAAGTTAACTTCATCCTTAGATATCAGACTGATGGAACGGAGAGACTTCCGCACTTTTTCTTCCGAGAATGACTCGAAGAGTGACTCTCTTCTACCGGTGTTCAGGAATACAGTTCCTAAACAGGTAACGGAACCACACTCACTTCCTCTCAGTTATTCTATTAGAATCCGACCCTCGGCCACACGTTCGACCTTCGGGAAAAAAGGCCCAAAATTTGTCCGAAGGGCGGATGTTTCAAAAAATCTGTAGTCACGAGCAATTTTAGGTACTTTGAGAAAGAAAATGCACATAACCTTGATCAGCGAATTTAGGAAAAATTAAAACACAATTATATATATATACAGGGTGACTTTGAAGTTGAGTCATTAATTTTCAGATAATGATTGTAGAAGGAAGATAAACCAGAATATGTGTGTAAAAATAAAAAAAAATTTAAAATAAATTTTTACCTTGTTTTATAAAGTATCCTCCCGACAAGTATTTCAGTGCGGACCTGTATTTGATCGTGAGGTCCCCTGTGAGGTCTTAAGTCACCTGATTCACGAGCCCGTTGTACTACATTAACAAAGGCACGAGGGGTTGGTTGCACTCGATTGGGAAACCGATCCGCATAAACATGTGCCATTTTTTATTTCGTTTGAGCCACGCAACAGACACTATTCACACGCTAACCGACAGACACTGAGTGTATGTATAACTGAACTGAATAAAATACTTAATTGCAAAAACGTTCCAAATTCTTTCGCTTTTTTGTTTCCGATGCGATGAACTGGTAAGGCGGATTATATCCGTTGTTGCCAAACACGAGTACATGATATTATTATTGAGACAGGGCGGTACTCAAACTTCCAAAGGGCTATAACTTTGTTACTTTAATTTTACCAGAAAAATGGTAAAGGAAAAAAACATTTCTTTTGATCAGATCTACTCACTGTTAAAATAAATGACTCAACTTCGAAGTCACCCTGTATATATATATAAAAGGTGCTAAGGAACATTAATATGTACGAATATGGACTTTTTGATCATATTTCTTTACTGAAACCGATTAGGTACTCTGAAACATCATTTAGCTTGCTTTTAGTACTACTGTATCTATTTTGTCTGATGTTTAATCCTGCAGGATATACAAGATGTCCTAGAAGTCTACGTGAAGCCGAAAACGGGGGATAGGTCAAGTCATAAAAGTGACCAGAGAAATATAAAAAAATCTTAAGTCGTGTACTTTTCAAATTATAGTATTCAAAAAACACACTGTGATGTTGCCATTACTACAAATTTCTATTTTTTTAGACGGAGTGACGGACAGTGTCATTCTACGCAGTGACAATAAGACAGATAGTAACGCCACTGAGATTAATTCATGAATGTGCAGTGTCACCATGTCTATGTACACCGTACAGGAATACGCCAACATGAACCTCATTTATGGGGCATGTAGATTTAATGCTAATGCTGCAGCTATTCTTTATAGTGAGAGGTACCCAAATGCTGATCGTCATCCCGATCACCGAGTTTTTGTGAATGTGCACGTTTACTGTCAGAGGGACGATTCCCAAATCAAGCACATGGTCAAGGAAAAATTTCCTTTACTTACGAGGACTCCAAGCAATCGAAGAAGGCCTGAGTACTTCAGTACATCAAATAGAAACAAGCACGGGAGTGCCCAAAAGCACAGCCCACCGAAACTTGCGAAAGAACGAGCTAGCTTCACCCGTACCGAGTACAATGTCTACAACCCCGGGATTATTTTCCAAGAGTAGAGTTTTGTCAAACAATGTTAGAGACACCGGGAAGATCCGCGATTTTTAGAGAAAATTTTATGGACTGATCAGTCGACATTTAAAAAAATGGTTACGTGAATCTAAACAACTTACACGTAGAAAATCCATATATGATGAGACAAGACAACATAGTATCGTTTTAAAGTAAGCATGTGGACAGGAGTTTTTGAATGACGACATTTATTTAGACTTTTTCAAAATCATTTGCCACATTCATTGGAGGACGCACCACTAAGCATTTACAGAGGCATGTGGTACCAGCAAGACGGCTGCCCGGCACACTATGCTCATTCAGTTAGAGAATATCTTGATGCAGAATACCCGAGCAGATGGATAGGGCGGTCTGATACAATTTCGTGGCCAGCCCGTTAATCTGACTTAAGTTCACTCAAGTTTTTTAAAGAGGAGCGGGGAAAGAAAAAGTTTACTCAAAGCCAATCGAAAATTTAACTGAGCCACCGGACAGAACAACGGAACCAGCTAAATTTGTTAATCATGGAAGATTTGCCCGTCTCATAGCTCGATCATTTTTAAGAAGTTGTCAAGCTTGCATTGTTGCTGGAGGAAGACAGTTTGAACGTTTATGGTGGTTTAATAAATACATTCACGATACATTCAACTTTATCTATTTGCCACTGTCAAAAATAAGACATCACTTGCGAAAATGCTTCTAATTGTAAGATTTTCTACGTGCTAGAATCTAATATACTCTTATATCTATATGTTAATGCAAAACATTCCTCAAATTTGTCTAACATCACTACCATTTCGAGATAAGGCATATGAATTACCAAGAGTTCAACCATTTTTTAATCAGAATACATCAGATCAAACTGAAGTTAAGTAATTATACTCATACAATTATCACGTTTTATCTAATTTTAACAAGTATCGATTCAATATTGCATTAAAACCGGGGTTATAACTTATGAGAAACAGAACAATGTGCACAAGCGTTCGTTATTATAACACATCATTCTTATAGAACCAGCCCCATTTCAAGCAAACATTATGTCAGATGTTGTGATTATAACCGAAGATCGGCTTCAGCCAGAAAATATTTTTTTGGCAAACCCATAATTTTACTCCCCCATTTCAAGGATTGACCTCAAGGACTGCTTGACCGTCAGAGCTAATATAGATATTAAATTTTAGATAAAACATTTTTTTAAAAGGATACCATACATGCCATCTCTGAACTCAAGAGCCACTCGCCTAACTATTCTTTCTCTTCGTTCTGCAGCTGGGTTTTTCTTCACTATAGAATCTTTGCTGTCTGACAATTTTTGTACTGTCACTTTTTCGATCCTCCTCTCAAACTTTTCACCTTTTACTATCCTAAAAAATATACATTGTTAGTATATTTTTTCAATAATATTCCTAATACAGTTAGGATAATTGAAGATACTAGTGGATAAAGGTGTCATGTAACAAAATCGTTGTATGGAGAAAAGTGGCTTCAAACATTTTTTATTTGGACTTTTTACTTTATTGAAATTTTAAATATTTAGTTTAACTTATTATCTTATTTTTGCAAAAAGGTAATCTCAGAATGAAAGTATCATTCCTCAATGTTAGTTTAATGCAGCAAAAAAGCAATTTTAAAAAATGTTACATGACACCTTTATCCACTTGTATCATCAATTATTTAATATATAAGTTCGTGTAAATAAATACTATTATTATATCAATACGATGTATTTTCAAAATATGTAAACATCCGTTTTGATAAAAAGTGGATAGTTTTTTTCTAAAAATTTTGTAGAAACCTAGTTACCTATCCACAAATATCCCTGGTAAATGTACTTGATCTGGATCTATATCACCTATTTTCACAATTTCTTCAACTTCTACTATTGTTGTTTTTGCAGCTCGTGCCATTGGAGGATTAAAATTCCTCGCCGATTTCCTATGAAAAAATAATTTGTTACATTATTTTTAATCTAGATGGTCAACGAAAAAAGTCTAGAAGTGTCATGTAAGATTCAGCCCCTCAAATTACCTATGTCTACCAAGTTTCATCTGCTTTTGTAACAAATGCATACGAAAAATAAGAATTTTAGATTATAAAACCCTATAATATTTTAACAATTCCAAAGAAAACGTTTTCAATAACCTTTGCGTAACTGTGGTGAGGACAACAACTCACGGATTGTCCCAAGCGCCCATTTTTCTACCCTCAAATTCAGTTCCACGATACTAACCAATTGTATATCCCTACATCTACACCTAAATTTACCTCTACATCAAGACCTACGTCTATTTCTACATACACCTCTACATCTATATCAACATCTACCTCTATATCCAGCTCTACAAGAGCACTACATCTAGCTCTACCTTTATATCTACTTCTGCATCTTCTCTACTTATCTCTTTTCTTTTCCCTATATATCCCTCTATTTCTCTATCAGTGTGAAAATTTTGTCAAAATCTAAGCAGTACTAGGCAGCAGCGGTGGCCGCAGTAGTAGACTCTTCGGTCTCCTGATCAGTCGCTGTGCCCTGTGCGGGTTCGAATCCCGTTCCAAGACAAATTTTTCTCTTAGCTATGGATGTTGTGATTGTACGTAGGTGGTAGACGGTCTCTGACTGTCGAACGCGGAGGTACCACCCGGCGGATCTCGTAGGCGGAGCCAGAATGTGTGCATGTTGCATGCACACGTGTTCCCTCGCCAGAGTTCGTGTGGCGTTCCCCCTGGCCCTGTATCCCCCTATAGCCACACGGTACCCAATGGGTATTTAGGCCTTAGGCCTTCGTCGTAGTTGGAGTATAAAAAAAAGTACTTTCGAAGCGAAATTATTGACAAGACACCCAAAACCGTATCTTATATCCGGAATTTTTCTTCGCAGTGGCGTGGCAAGTAAAAAATTAGCTTTCCAAAAAAACGCTTGCAAAAAACCTACCTAAACAAACAGTTACCAGCCCTATCAGCCTTCCATGCCTTAATCAAGGCAAAATCCCCAGTTATGGCTTCTTCCATAATATAGTTTTTCCCGTAGAACATCTGCTGTTGTCTTGGAGAGCTTGCAATCTCAACCTTCCCATTTTTGTCATATTTAATGGGGGCTCCACCTTCATGCACTAGGGTACCATAAGCGGTTGGGGTAAAAAAGGCTGGGATTCCAGCACCTCCTGCTCGAACCCTCTCTGCTAACGTGCCCTTAAAATAGAATGCAAAAATTAATTTACACACATACTATACGAGGGATGTCTTTTAAGTTTTGCAAATGGAAATAAAACAACACGGTAGGTAGTTTTAAATGACTTTATTATTTTTCGAAGTATTCTCCACGAAGATTAATACACATCTGCATGCACTAGAACCAATTTTCGAAGCACTTATTCCACTAGTTTGCTGCCAGATCCAAAACGGCATTTTTGAATGCGTCAACTGCTTCTTCTGGTGACTGGAACCTTTGACCTCGCAGTCTGTTGTTAATTTTCGGGAAAGTAAAGAAATCGTTAGGACTATATGGAGGATGGTCCAATAATTCCACGTTTTCTTCCGTTAAGTACTGCCTTGTTTTTTGGGCTGTGTGCGAGCTTGCATTGTCTTGGTGGAGGATGATTCTTCTTTCGGGGTTGATTTTTCCAAGCTCGGTGAAGACTTTTGGCAAACAAATGGTGGTATACCAATCCGCAGTAACAGTTCTTTGCTCATTAATAGGAATTGTTGCAATATGATCCGCTTTTGTCACAAATGTCGCGACCATCTTTTTCGAAACACTTCGAGAACGGATGACTGTTGTTGGCTTTTCTTCACCTTGGAACACCCAAACAGCCGACTGTTGTTTATTTTCTGGTTCATAACAGTAAATCCACGATTCATCACGCCTAACAATGCTGTACACATTTTTTGAGTTCCCGGAATTGAAACCGTCAAGCGTTTTTTGACACCAATTAACCCTGGCTGCTTTCTGCTCTTCAGTCAACAGGTGGGATATCCAACGAGCAACTAATTTTTTACTCCTAATTCTTCATGTAAAATTTTTTGAATTGAGGTCTTTGAGATCTTCAAGAACGCCCCAGTCTCACGATATGCCACATGTCTATCTTCAATGATGCGTTTGCGCACAGCATCGACGTTTTCCTGGGTGACTGCCGTTTTTGGTGCACCCACCCTGGGATCGTCGCTAACACTCACCCGTCCACGTTTGAATTCTGAAATTGTCGACTGATGTGGCGCTTCGTTGCCGAAAACAGACAGTAACTCAGCAAGGCATTCTTGTTGCGATAATTGTCTCTGAAAGTTGTAATAAATTACGGCGTGAAAATGTTCTCGGTTGAGTTCCATTTTTCTAATGACTTGGTGACACTTAAAAATTCACTGTAGTGAGAACACTGCACGTATTGTTGTGAAACTTTGAATTTAAGTTTACTAAAGAGTGAGGTTAAGATTCAGTACTGACCTTCGATCCGCGCGGCCTACTATGTTTCTATATGCAAAACTTAAAAGACATCCCTCGTACCGGCTGTTAATTAAGTATGTACCATAAATTTAACACAGGATTCTTTGAGTAATTTTAAGACAAAAGTTCATATAAACATAGGTCTGCAAATTCTTCACTCTAACTTGATTAAATTTATTCATTCCAGTGACGTCTCGAGCGGGATCTGCACGAATATTTATGACAAAAAATGTATGCCACTGACATTTATGCAATTTTTATTATGTTCTTTGGCCTGAGCAAACAGAAATACAACTGTATTGTGTCTTGAATTTTTTTGGTGTCTTGCATATCCCTGGACCACACAAGGAAGATGGGGAAAATATTCCTTAGTTTACTAAAATTCATTAGTATAGATGTTAATGTAATGTAATTTAATTTAGTGTTTATTTGTTGTTGTTACATAATTATACTGTAACTATCTAAAACTGTAATGACTCACACGCGTAATCAGAGCCTGACCGCCGCCGGGCGACGGAACGGCTGTCTATAGGCGACAGGCTATTACAGGGTGGTATTCTAAACTCTGAGTGTTCGATTTACACATTCTAAATAATACACATTTTATTCAGGTAACAATATGTCCCACAATCATCTCGAAAAACTTTGAGATATTAGAATACAAGTATGTTAATAAACAAAAATTGGGAAAATATGAGCCTACCATTTTGATTCATTTCTTTATTACAATTTGTTATAATAATCTTAAGTAAAACGGTTTATGAATTTTTGGATTTTTTTTAAGGAGAGAGCTTCCATATAGCAAGCAATCTTCTCGAATGAATAAAATATTTAAAAATCACGACCGTGCTACTTTAACGGCGTACGCTGCCTAAATCGTGGGACATACATAAATGCTACAACTACTACTACTACTACTACTACTACGAAAATAATTGTCTTCAAAAGAACTACAAAATCCGAGTAAATAGTCATTTTCAATTGTCCTCTGGTTGCTTTATTAGGTCCTTGCCTGTTTCCGAACGGTTTGCTAAGGCCGTTGAGCTTTGGGCTTTCATTCCACCCCGCTCGGGTGATTTTCAATTTTTTTTTCCTTCATGTAAGTTTGTCCGATCGCCATGAGACACGAAATCCCGATAAAATTCGCCAAGTTATACCCAAAAAAATTATAGTGGGCTTTATTTGCTAACTCAATGTTGATTGTGCTCTACGATTCAGCTGTTGAACAATGAACGAATAGCTGATGCCGCGCGGCATCCTGTTTGCCTGCAACACTATTGACTATCATGCGGGCGAAGCCGTGGGCTTATTCTATTAAGTAAGAAGTTTGCATCTTTGGGAAATATCTCATTTGCATTAATATTTCATATTTCACAACTTTTTGCAATTCAAGGTGATTTTGTAGCCGTAAAAATCATAACGTATTGTTTTTCCACTGATGAGCTCGTCTACTTGTAATAAAAAATGATCATTGATGAGTCATTGCAGTTTTAGCTAGTTATGGTACAGTAATAAAGAATTTCAATGGACAAGTTTACCATTTTTTTGTTACTAGCTCAAATGAAATTTGAAGAAAAATGAATGTCAACTTTGGTAAAAAAATACTAATTTATCCCTAAAAACAAAAAAGTTACAGCGTATCAAAGTTTCGTCCCGCGAGAATATTTTTATTCCGTCTGAACGTGACGCGTGACGTCACACTTCACTACTCAGTTGCGACGGTCATGGCCGACTCCTGGGCCCGAGATGACTCAATTTCCTAAACACACGCATAGGTACACATAAAATCAAATTCAAGCGAATAACCAAATGAAAATGGTATTTACCATTTTGGATTGGTATTTGCCGATCCGTTCAAGCGATTGTGGTTATAAGATCCAAAAATTGTGGTATTTACTCAACTCCGGAGTAGTTTTATATTTCTGGTTATTATTTGAAATGTGACAAGTTAGAATTTTGGCGGGTGTTGGATATTTTTGTTGTACTTCAGCATCATTTTTGAGAAACTTGATGCAGGCTGACTTCAGTTGTAGCATAAAGTAGAGCACCTGATTAGGTATACTCATTACTGTTGTTGGGGACACTTCAAATCTAATTCCTATGCGTAACAAAGTATCATGTGTAACTATCACAAGAATATTAAAATATGGCCATATAAACTCACTGGATAATGTCCACCTGTCTACGGTTTTGCTAATATCTTTTTTCATCTCTTCTTCCTATCATTTCTGCTAAATATAAATGTTATCTTTAACATGTGGAAAAGTTTAGAGAATTAAAGGTTATCATAGCTACAAAGCCATGGTTCAATCATTAAAAAAAATTTCTGAAAAAAATACTTTCTCCCATTAATATTATGATAGTTTTCTTTTTTAAACTTTCCATACACTGTTCTAGACGAAAAAGCACCGATTATTAAGTGATAATAAAAATAATCAGAAATTATATGTACGCGCTATTCTAAATTAAACAACTTGCAACAAAACCACGGTTAAAACCAACGCGTCAAACGAGTCGAGTAACTGACGTCATCAGCCCGTGTGTCATCTTAAACCATTTTATACCCGCGGTACATAATACAGAAATTTTGGTTATTCGCTTGGATTTGATTTAAGCGGGAATACGTGGTAGGCTAAACGTCTTCCATGCCATATGAGTGAAATAACAAAAAAAAATTGTTATGACTACTGTATAGTGCCAAAATGTACAAGCGCAATTACAACCGCTAATAAACATTTTTTTTCTACGTACCCTCACATAAAAATATCAGGAAGAAATTGTGCAAACTTATGAAGCATAATTTGATTGGTCCAAAAAGTACAACATATGTATGTGAAGACCACTTTAATATATCACTTTACTATTTATTCAAGATTATTAGATATTACATATATGATTTCCAAGCTCATTTCACTGCACCGGCATTTGGGGGGAAACATGTATCAACTATAATATTACAGATCACTTATTTCAACTCAGCGAGAATAGCTGTGAGCTGCTATAGTGTCACTTACCCCCTGAAAAAGGCGTCAAGTAGGTTAACTCTTTAGTGCATCATGTGCTATAATCAAATCCAAGCGAATAACCAAAATTTCTGTGTTACGTACCGCGGTTATAATATATTTAAGATGTCACACGAGTTGATGACGTGAGTTACTCAAATCGCTTGAATGGTTTTAACCGCGGTTTTGTTGCAAGTTGTTTATTCTAGAAAAGCGAGTATATAATTTCTGACTATTTTTATTATTACTTAATAATCGGTGCTTTTCGTCTACAACGGTGGTATGGAAAGTTTAAAAAGGAAATCTTTCATAATATTAATGGGAGAAATGTTTTTTTTTCATCAGATATTGTTCAGGTGTTAAATCAATTAAGAAAATCTCTCATTTTCAAACAAGTTTGTCGCGAAAATAAAAGATATGACGCAAAAATTTAATGGTGAAACCATGGCTTTGTAGCTATGATAAATTTTAATTCTTTAAACTTTTCCTGTCAAATAAAACATTGATAGGAAAAAGCGATGAAAAAAATATTAGCAAAACCATATACAGGTGGACATTGTTCAGTGAGTTTATATAGCCATATTTTAACATTTTTCTGCTATATATGGCTACACAGGATATGTTGTTAAGCATAGGAACTAGATTTAAAGTGTCCCCAACAACAGTAATGAGTATAACTAATAAGGTGCTCTACTTTATGCTATAACTGAAGTCAGCCTGTATCAAGTTTCCCAAAAATGTAGCTGAAGTACAACAAAAATATGCAATACCCGCCAACATTATATCTTGTCACATTTCAAATAATAACCAGAAATATAAGACTACTAAAAAGTTGGGTAAATACCACAATTTTATGGTGATAACCTGGTGATAACTATGACATATAACAGCTGATTGATGACGTCACGGATCTTATAACCAGACCGATAACCACACTCGCTTGTAAATTAATACCAATCCAAAATAGTAAATACCATTTTCATTTGGTTATTCGCTTGAATTAGATCAATGTTATTATATATTTTAATGGGATTTTAGAAAAGTAACACCTTTATCAAATTAGGTTACTTCAAATTTCGACTTCAAATGCCTTTTTGATATTACAGATTGAGAATGATACTGAAAATCTGATAAAATATAGACTAGTCAGTGGAAGATTGAAGCTAAAAGTCACAGTAAATACTCATAAGTTTGACTGCCAAAAAGGTGTAAAGTAAGCCATTACTTGGGTCTTATTCTGACAACTATGACACACAACAGTTTCAATTTTTTCCTCACTTTCATGAGACCAATGTGCAGTGGTAAGGCATAGTTTTTACTTTATGTTCAGGTGTAACTCTGCATTTTGTCAGGCTTGTATTGGGCACATGCCCTGCAATTGCCAGAATCAGGTACAACATACTTGGAGATGTAGTACTCCAAGCAGAAGACCTGAAGGATATTTCTCCAAACAAGTTATCGACTTCCTCAGGAGATCGGGGGAAATATAAATAGGTATGAGCCACAATAGACCAGAGAGTCGCAGTGGAGGATCATTATTGATGCATTCACAAGAAACCTAACCTAACTGTGCATTTTACAATGCATTTGTTCCGGCGTGCCTCAGGGATCCATATTAGGTCCACTTTTATTCCTTATATACACCTTTGACATTTCCAACACCCTTCAACATTGTTCTAGTCAATCATATGCTGATGATATGCAGGTTTTTCATAATTTCTGTCCGAACAACTACCATTTAGCTAACAACCTTATCAATCAAGATCTGCAATACTTATGCACATATGCTGAAAAACATAATTTACGTCTAAACGCATCGAAATCGACAGCTATACTTTTTGCTCCAAGAAAAAACGTACTTTCCTCAAATCAAAGTTAAATTTATCAATAAATAATAGTATCCTAATATTTTCCCATTCTGCAAAAAATTTAGGTTTGTACTTGGATGAAGATTTCAGATTTCAGGAGCATGTTGGCTATGTGTGTAAGTCTAGTTATTTTAGACTCGGGCTTCTATATGCAAGTAAAACTGTTTTAAATAGAAAAATTAAGAAAATGTTATGCGAGTCACTCATACTCAGTAAAATCGCTTACTGCAACATAGTTTATTATCCCTGTCTGGATGAAATCACAAAATACAGACTGCAAAAAATTCAAAACTGATGTAGTCGTTACATAAACAATTTAAGAAGGTACGATCATGTTTCTCACTCAATATCTTCAATGAATTGGTTGAAAATTTCTGATCTTTTCAAATACAACTTTGTTACATTTGTCGTAAAAATATTAAAAACTTCTGTTCCCGTTTACCTTATGCAAAAGCTTGTTTGTAGGAATTTAATTCACAATTTGAATACGCGCAACATTAATCTCCTGACAATGCCACAACATAGGACAGCCATTTTTCAACGGTCTTTTACGTATAATGCGGTGAAATTGATCAACTCTTTCGAAAAATGTTTCATCAGCAACTTTTCTAAAAAAAAATATAAAAACTACTTATTGAGCTCTTAGGTTATTGTCCTCTCTTTGAATCGTACGTATTATGTTTTTTGTTCTAATCGTACGCATTATGTCATATTTATTAATTCTTCTTCTTTTACTATTATTCTTCTTTTTCCTTTTCTTTTTCAGTTTTTTTTTTTATTTTATTTTGAAGGTAGTAATAAGCATTGACATTTATGGTTGAGTATAAATGGCCATTGGCCAGACTTCGCCATTTGTAAGGATACATAATTATGTATGTGTTACAATAAAGTCCATTGAATTGAAATTGAATTGAATTTAGTACCTTCCATTTCAAATGAACATAACCAATAGCTTCTTCACGATACGAATCTCTACCTGGCCTGGAAAATATCGTGTCATATTCGCAAATCTGTACTCATATTAAGCATCAACACTAATTTGTTTAAAACCTCTGTAGGGTATTGCACATTTTACAGGTAGTTGTGACAGTATAGCAGTAGGCGTAAATCCTTACATCCAAAGTTTCACATCTTTTATTTCTGCACTTGTATATGATGGATTTGAAGAAATAAATTTCATCACTACATAAATGTCAATTTTGGGCAAATTATTACTTAACCCTTTTACAAATCCAGCTTCCATAATGGTACGAACTTATGCAGTACTCAAGAGTTATCAACTAGAAACTATGAGGCCGAGCACACAGGTGTGTCTTATGAATTGTCTATATACTAATTACTTAACGCACAGGCGCTGTCAGCATGCTCAGCACTAGTGAAGTGTGATGTCAGATGCGAACTTATGGCAGCACTAATTTTGCGCTATAATGCGCCAAATTTAAGTATTAATTTCTCTGTCATTTATTGACTGATTCAATATATTTCATCTATATTTTGCTGGTATGTTATTACTTATGCGATTATGAACATCACGAAACTTCTCCATTAGGAAATACATTCCATATTTTTTTTATGGTATGCTTTCAGCATTATCATAATTATGTTCTTTCTTAAGAGAAAAATAAGCGCCTTATCCCTTCATATTTTACTTTGAATCACTTAAGTAAGTATTAAATTACCTGAGGTGTGAGTTCAACTTCTAGCTCCCCAGACAGGTACTGCCTTTCAAATTCTGCATTCTCGCCAACATAAGAAGAAATCATTCTTTTTATTTTCTTCTGCTTCAATAACAAACCCAGCCCCCAGTTGTCTACACCTGCATTGTTAGATACAACTATGAAGTCTTTAGCCTGATGCTTACATAGGGCTCCTATAAGATTTTCGGGAATACCGCATAGGCCAAAGCCTGGAAGAGTCATTGTTGTACTTTGATCAAAGATTTTGCAAGATTGTTATACTTACCTCCTACTAAGAGTTTCACCCCATCTGTGATGTCTTTCACAGCATCTTCTGGTGAAGTGACTTTATCTCTTGCAATTGAGGCATAGTTAGCGGATATCACCTGTGGAAAAATACCAATATACACATGTGCACTCTGGCTATTGTAAATTTCTTTTCAGACGTTCTTAATTACAGCTTACCTTAATAACATTTTGCCTAGTGTGACGCGCTTTGAACGTGAAAATTGTCCTAAAATTACTGTTTGTGCCGAATACACTGTAGGATTTCAGCATCTTTTACTATGTAACCTCACTTTCAAACTCGAAATCGCCTCCCAACAGTTTTATTAATTTTGGAACGACTGTTGATATCGAGTAAAAACTGACACAAAGAACTGAAATAAGCATGAACCTGCTCCAAGGTTATCAGGCTTTCACCATGAATATAATGAGAATATTATTAAAATTCAAAATAATATTGCAATATTTTCGTATTCGTAGGTATATCAGATTTTTTTCGATTTATCAGGAGATTTCTTGCATCATATTTATCTCTTACGTCTGTTTGTCATATTTCGAGTAAACACGTAAAAGATAAAAAATCAAATGTGATGTACCTAATAATCTGTGATTAAATCCAAACATTTTTTAAAATCAAATTTTGTGACAGTGACATTTATCTGGGTTAGTGTAGAAATTGCTGATTAGGTTGGCAAAATGAATCTCCTTGATATAGCAATAACAATTCTCTAGGCTAACAACTTTTCGTTGTGTAACGAGATTTTAAGCTGTGAATGTTGATTTATTATTTATGAAACATAAATCAAATTCAAGCGGATAACCAAATGGAAATGGTATTTACCATTTTGGGTTGGTATTTACCAATCCGTTCAAGCGAGTGTAGTTATCAGTTTGGTTATAAGATCCGTGACGTCACGAATCAGCTGTTATATGTCATAGTTATCACCGCAAAATTGTGGTATTTACCCAACTCAAGAGTAGTTTTATATTTCTGGTTATTATTTGAAATGTGACAAGTTAGAATTTTGGCGGGTGTTGGATATTTTTGTTGTACTTCAGCATCATTTTTGAGAAACTTGATGCAGGCTGACTTCAGTTGTAGCATAAAGTAGAGCACCTGATTAGGTATACTCATTACTGTTGTTGGGGACACTTCAAATCTAATTCCTATGCGTAACAAAGTATCATGTGTAACTATCACAAGAATATTAAAATATGGCCATATAAACTCGCTAGATGATATCCACCTGTATACAGTTTTGCTAATATCTTTTTTCATCATTTCTGCTGAATCAATAAATGTTTTCTTTGACATGCGGAAAAATTTAGAGAATTGAAAGTTATCATAGCTACAAAGCCATGGTTCCATCATTAAAAAAAAATCCGAAAAAAACATTTCTCCCATGAATATTATGAAAGGTTTCTTATTTAAACTTTCCATATACAGTTGTAGACGAAAAAACACCGATTATTAAGTGATAATAAAAATAATCAGAGATTATATACGCGCTTTTCTAAAATAAACAACTTGCAACAAAACCGCGGTTAAAACCAACGCGTTCAAGCGATTCGTGTAACTGACGTCATCAACCCGTGTGTCATCTTGAACCATATTATAACCGCGGCACATAACACAGAAATTTTGGTTATTCGCTTGGATTTGATTATAAAATTTCTTCCAATCGACATTTTTATGCGACAAAATCTTGCGAAGTTAAGACTATGCGACAATGAATGCGGGTTGAGAATTGTTTGTAATTATATATTTACCAGTCTTATGTGTTTTGTGGTACCAGGTAAGGTACTACGTCAGCGGGTTCCGCGCGACACATCGCGCTAACAAATATCATTAATTCAATTTGTATTAATTCATATTCATAACAAAATCCGTGAAAAGGAGGTAAATCTACTTGATATTATTTTTCATTCAGTATTACAAATCTTCAGCATGTAGATAATTTTATAAAAGGTTATTGAAGGTAAGGTATTATATGTACTAGTAAGGATGCCATTCTATCTAAGATAAAATACGAAACATCATATCTAGTCTCGTTTAGTTTTGGGTAGATATCTGCATAGACGCGAACTCATAAAAAAGAAGATGAAGTTCTGCTGTTCACATTGACACTAGTAAAATTTAAACATTTTGTTGACTGGATTATATTAAACAGTTCGTTACGTAGCGAAACAGCCAAAGCCAGGGATAGCCACATATCATTTGGTTGTTTGGTTCCATCATTTCGTGATTGACATTTAGTGTATATGTTTTGTGCGTGAAGTTATAATCAAATTCAAGCGGATAACCAAATGGAAATGGTATTTACCATTTTGGGTTGGTATTTACCAATCCGTTCAAGCGAGTGTAGTTATCAGTTTGGTTATAAGATCCGTGACGTCACGAATCAGCTGTTATATGTCATAGTTATCACCGCAAAATTGTGGTATTTACCCAACTCGAGAGTAGTTTTATATTTCTGGTTATTATTTGAAATGTGACAAGTTAGAATTTTGCCGGGTATTGGATATTGTTATTGTACTTCAGCTTCATTTTTGAGAAAAATGATACAGGCTGACTTCACTTTTACCATAAAGTGGAGCACCTTATTAGTTATACTCATTACGGTTGTTGGGGACACTTTAAATGTAGTTCCTATGCTTAACAAAGTATCCTGTGTAGCCATATACCACAAGAATATTAAAATATGGCCATATAAACTCACTAGATGATATCCACCTGTATACGGTTTTGCTAATTTCTTTTTTCATCATTTCTGCTGAATCAATAAATGTTTTCTTTGACATGCGGAAAATTTAGAGAATTGAAAGTTATCATAGCTACAAAGCCATGGTTCCATCACTAAAAAAAAAAACTGAAAAAAACATTTCTCCCATGAATATTATGAAAGGTTTCTTATTTAAACTTTCCATATACAGTTGTAGACGAAAAAGCACCGATTATTAAGTGATAATAAAAGTAATCAGAGATTATATACGCGCTTTTCTAAAATAAACAACTTGCAACAAAACCGCGGTTAAAACCAACGCGTTCAAGCGATTCGTGTAACTGACGTCATCAACCCGTGTGTCATCTTGAACCATATTATAACCGCGGCACATAACACAGAAATTTTGGTTATTCGCTTGGATTTGATTTATGTAGTGGTTATGTTATGTAGGTGTCTGATGTGATCCAGAAGATATAAGATCAGAAAAATGAATTTTCTCAAGAATATTCCCAGTCTTCTATCTCCTATTTGTAACCAAAATGTGAGTAAATACTATTGTACACTTTGTTATCAGTTATTAAAATTTTAGAGATAAACTGTTAAAAATTTGGTCCTAATTTCAGCTGCAACAAGTCCGTACAAAATGGGTAAACCGCTGGATGATCCGAGACGTAAAAAGAAGGAAAATGGTAACAGAATACGCACCAACAAGACTGAGAATAAATTCCCTTAGAAAAAACGATATCCTGCCTGTTGAACTACGGGAGATAGCATCCAAAGAAATCGAAGATCTACCTAGAGATTCGATTCTTTTAAGAACACAAAATCGTTGTGTTATCACATCTAGACCAAGAGGGACTGTACAGCGTTGGAGGTTTAGCAGGATAGTGTTCAGGCATCTTGCAGATTATAATAAGTTGTCAGGTGTACAGCGGGCAATCTGGTAGAAGCTTGCTTGTTATTGTTTGTAGTATATAATAATAAATATAGTAATAACAAAGATGATTTTTTATAACCAAGCAAATAAATTACAAGATATTGGGTAATTTCTTTCTTTTATCATTATGAACAAAAAAAGGTTCTAGTAACTTTTCTCTAAAGTGGACTGATGTATGGTAATAATTGCCCTGTAAGAAGGGTTTTTGACAACATACATACATTTGTAAGCCACAAGTTTTTTTTTATTTGAAGAGAAAAAACTGTTGTAATATGAAATTTGACCCAGACAATTGGGAAAGAGCTGAGTGGTGGCCGACACTGATCAGGAACTGGAAGCACGGGCTCAAGATGCATATATCATCAGAACAGAAAATCATTGGGAAATTGATGATGAATATGATGACCAGGCGAGGCAGATCTGAGAACTCATGTAGAACATCAGGGACTAAATGGCTAAAATTGATAGCTTAACTGCCCAAGTGATAGTTTTAGTGAGTTCAAAATAAACCCCCAAAGAATGGACAAACAGCTTTAAATGACAGCTACAGCCCATTACTAATGATCAATATACATTGGCCAATATTACTAGCTTCAGCTGATGTGACATCGTGCCAACCTTCACGTCAATGTCGTGGATTTCCTATTGTTTTTCATGGGGCGTTGTGTCGTACTTTGAACAACAAATTCATTTCCCTAGGTATTGAAATAGATCGGGTGGTTACCGTCGAGAAATACGGATCCGAGGACGTCTCTTCTGAGTTTAAGAAGTGCCCAATTACACTTTTCCTCTCCCTTGGGAATGGAACATCCATGCGGTGGTTGGAGGAGTTCCCATTAATTGTTTGAATACTGAGATTAAGGAAGTACTTTAGCAGAGGGGATATAGCCATCTTCACATTCGTTTCAGGCACAGTGGTAGCGCACCCATGCATTTGGTGGTTGTGACAGTGCCCAAGACTAAAGTAGTGTTGAATGCAGAAAAACCGCATATAATTTTCAAGTCCAAGCATAGCAATTGTATTTTACCTACTAAAATATAATGAATTTCAGTATAACACAAAATTTCTTGGGAGTACACATGGATCAAGCATTCAAATGGTTGGAGCATATAGAAAAAACAAAAAATAAGCAGTTACACTCTAGGGCTTTTAAATAACTATTTGATTTTGTTACTCTAAAGATTATCTTTCATGCTAATTTAAAATCTATCCTAAGATCTGGAATATTTTTTCAAGGACAAAGCATTTAAATAAATCAATTTCGACCCATTGTCCAAAAAAGACCTTTGAGGTAGAAGCTAAAAGTAACACAGAACATGGAACTTTAGGTCTTCATATTTTTTTTTTTTTATATCGAAACAGCAGCGCAGACAGAAGCCTAAATGCCGGAACACCGCGGCTGCTATGATGATCCCAAAGAAATTTTGTTAATACGATTTTTGAACTGTCTAAGGTTAGTAGAACTGGGAAAAGCTTCCTCTTGTAGATTGTTCCACAATCTAGACACCCTCGGCACAAAGAGCGGTCGTATCGGCCAGTTCAGGATGTACGAAGTTTGACACGGTTAGGATGGGACGCCGAAGTCAGGCGGGTCTGTCTGGTAGGCACATCGCGCGCCGGCATCATGGAAGAGAGCTCTGAGGAGCAAAGCCCGTTGGTGTAGGGTTAGAAAAGAGCTAGATCGCCGACGGCCCGCCGGTGCGAAAGAGTCCCGAGACTGTCTGTTAGAGAAGAGTCATCGATCAGTCGGACCGCCCTCCTCTGGACAGCATCGAGCCATGGACAATGTAGTCGGGGAGGCAGCACCCCAAATGTGTGAACAATACTCGAGGCTAGGCCTTATCTGGGCCTTGTATAGAGTGAGAAGGTCATGCGGAGAAAAGTACTTCTTAGCCCTAAACAAATAGCCTAGCTTTTTCCCAGCAGCTGCAGCTATTGACGAGATGTGTTCGTGCCAGATCAGGTCCTCGGTGATCTGGACTCCGACCAGCCGAAATGAATGGCTCTTTGGTAGAACTCGGCCGTCCCTCGAAACTGTATGAGCGCTAGGACGCTTTTTGTTCGTCAAAGTACAGTACTGTGTTTTGGAAGCATTGAACTGTACAAGATTGTTGCGTTCCCAAGCAGTGATAGCCTCCAGGTCTCTTGTCAAAGAAGAAGTCGTCGCTAGTCTTCTTTTTTCCAGCTCAGCGGCAGAGATCGGCTTGTCACTCTGAATTCCTGCATGTAGAGTGCTGTCATCAGCGAAGCTGTGGATTAGGTTGATCGTGCAGGAAAGGAGGTCGTTGATATGTAAGAGAAACAGTGTTGGAGCCAAGACCGATCCCTGGGGAACACCGCGTTGACGTTGTGGGATGAAGAGGAGAATCCGTCAATTACGACGGATATCTTGCGGCCAGAGATAAAGTCAGCCACCCATCTGCAAAGCTTTTCTGGGAGGCCATAGGATGGAAGTTTGCTTAAGAGGGCAGCGTGCCACAGCTTATCGAACGCTTTCGTGATGTCAAGAGCAACGAATTGAGCCTCACTATGAGACTGGATGAGTTTACTCCACAATTGCGTGACGTAAGCTAGGAGGTCCCCTGTGGATCGTTGGTGCCGGAAACCGTACTGCCTGTCGCTAATCAAGCTGTGACGTTCGAGGTAGTCCAGAAGCTCGCGATTTATGCACCTCTCCATCACTTTACTTATAACAGAAAGCAGAGCTATAGGCCTGTAGTTGTAAGGGTCGGTCTTAGATCCTTTTTTTGGGCTGGGCTGGACATGAGCAAATTTCCAGTTTTCTGGGAAGGTGCCGGATTCATAAGATATCTGGAAGAGACGCGAAAGAACTGGAGCAAGCTCCGCTGCACATCTCTTCAGTACAATGGCAGGAATCAAGTCCGGACCAGAAGCTTTGTTGATGTCGAGCGACAAGAGCACTCGTCTTACGGTATTATGCCTGAATGTTACCTCCCGCATAGTGTGGGGAACCCTTTGAATTGACGGCATTTGGGCGTTGGTAGGGACGTCCATGGTGGAGTTGGCAGATAAGATCTTGGCTAGCACTTCAGCCTTGGCCTTTGAGTCGAATACAATAGTTCCATCCTGACACGTAAGTGGTGGAAGGCTACTGTGTGATAAGTTCTTTTCAATCTGCTTGGCCAGGGTCCAGAAAGACCGACTGCCATTGCGCTGCGACGCTCTACAGTGGGGTTTTGTAAGTAGGTTCTGTGTGCCTTGATTTTCTGCTGGCGAGCAGTGTCACACGATTTGTTAAACCAGCCGTTGGACCCTGGTATTAGGAACTTTCACTGTGTGAGGGATGTATTCCTCACTTCCGACGTGGATAATTTCTGTTATCGAAGAACAGACAGTCGACGCATCCGCGTCAGTGAAACAGACATATGTCCAAGGAAAGCTAGAGAAGAAGTCTCTGAGCGCCTCCCAGTCGGCATGTCCGTAATGCCAAGTTTTGCGGCCTGTACGAGTTTCTGCTGCCACAGCGGCTTCTGACCGAAAGCTAACCTCCACAACACCGTGGTCTGAGTTACCCAGAGGGGACAGGACAGCAGTGCTGTAAGGGACAGGATGCGTGGTCAGAAAGAGATCCAGCAGGCTACTGGCGTGTGACGAGACGCGGGGGGAAAAAGTAGGGCTCGTCACCAGCTGGGTCAGCCCTTGAGTAAGAGCGAACGCTTCGACTGCACGACCTGCTGCATCGGTCTTATTTGAGCCCAACCAAAGGTCATATGGGCATTGAAATCACCGAGAAGAACTACTTTTGAAGCGGGGTGATTGATGTTCAGGAAGTCGATCTGGACGGCGAGGTATTCGAGTAGGTCATCCCAGTTATGGTTCGAGGGAGAGCGATAAAGGCAGCAAATAAATTTGGGTGATGTTTTGGAGTTGATTCCAGTTGAGTCTGATTCCAAAGAAAGATCCCTGGAGCAGGAAAGACTGCTGCGGACAAAAGCCACAACTCCCCCGTTCTTTCTCAGATTGGAGTGCACCTCGTAGTTTGGGAAGTTGAGATGGTTAATCGGTGCAGTCTCTTGAGATTTTTGTCTCCGCCAAGAAAAGCACGGCGGGACGATTGGATTGCAGGTAGTGATGAACAGCATCAATGTTGCTGTTAATCCCGCAGACGTTCGAAAAACAAATTTTATCTTCGTTGTTGTTCCCTCGAGCCCACCCTCCACCCGGACATTCCGAGAGTGGAGTGAGTTTACGTCCGGTGTTCTTAGTGCTTGAGGGATCCATCATCATTAATTTCTTTGTTTTGGAAGATAACCGACTGCATAGCTTAGGTGTGGAAACATGCGGACATTTATAAGACACCCTGGAAAAAGCTAGCGGGTGGTACCGCCTCGGTCGACTGGTCCTTGTCTACCACCTTCTTTTTACGTGTTAGTGATATTAAATAGACCTAAAGTGGCCCGTTGGCGGACTTGTACCGCCACTCGGCAATCGGTACTGAGGTATTCCTTAACGCGTGTACAATCACTTGGACGGGAAGAAGTTGTATACTGGATACAACTTCCGGAATAAGCATTTGCCACGGCCCTCGCTCAGTGGGGGGTGTCTAGAAAGGGGACAGGCATGTTCTCATCTTCTTTATCAATGGTAAATTGGACGTAGACTAATTTTGACAGTTTGTAACTAATCAACAATTTATTTGTTTCCAAGGATGATGCGATATTTTAGGGAATTAAGCCGATCCATGCTAATAACCAAAAAAATAGCCGTCAAAACCCTTATGTGTCTAGTATCAAAAAAAACTTATAAAAAAATTGAATCCAACCTTGCACAAATATACAGGGTGAAAAAGTAACAAATAGGATAAAAGCTGAGGTGTGTAAGTTTTTTTTATACAAAATTCAGCACTCCAAACCTCAAAACGGCGGACTGAGGGGCTGCCGAAGTGGACGGTCCCTCCGGACAAAACATCTTACATCTCAGTAAGATTACCAAAACTCCACAGCATGCTATATCAATCTTCCTCCTTTGAATTGGACCATCCAAATATGCAATAAAATTTGAGGCATTCCATTTAAAAAGTCACAACCCCGACATGCAGGTCAAAATTGGGACACCCTGTATGATCGCCAATATTCCAGAAACCT